GGCGGTCACTGTGTGCTGTCCGATTATGCATGGTGTGGGTGTGTATGTGTGTGTCAGTTGGCCGCACGATGGTGATGTTGGTGAGCCTGGCGGTGCGGGCGATGCAGAAGATCGGATGCGCCACAGACAGCCCCTGGGGCGGACTCAGGGCACTGCTGGTATGTCCGTCCCATGCAACAAACAAACTCTCTGTCTGCATGGACAGATGGATGGATGTGCCGTGTGCTTTCCTGTGTGTGGGTGGGGTGGGTGTGTAGGTGCTGTCGCCGCCCGGCAAGGCCTCTCTGACGCCATCAGTGGAGGGCGGCAGCCTCAGACGAGTGCTCGACCAGATCAAGCAGAAATGCAGCGCCACGTACAGCAGCCAGACGACACACGCAGAGAGAGAGGAAGAGGGAGAGGGCACTCCCGTGTGTGTGTTTTGTTGTGTCACAGCATTGGCCGTTCTGTGGACGCGCTGCCGCTAGATTTGGTGTGGGACATGGAGGTGCAGCTCAAGGGGCGCCTCAAGCTGCCGCTGACCGGCCTCGCATACCCTGGCGCATGGATACTCTGCAGACCCGATGGATACATCTCACACAATGGTCAGCCGTCCTGAAAGACAACCACAGATGGCTGTAGACATGCGGCTGGTATGGTGTGGTGTGGTGGGTGGTGGGGTGGGGCTTGGTGTGTGTCGTCAGGTTTAGCCAACGACCAGGTCGCCGAGCAGCACCTGTGGCTGTCCCTCGACACGTATTTCTGAGCGATTGAGAGACTGACTGACTGGCTGGCGGCGAGAGGCTGTCTGTCATGCATGAGATTCGAGTCAGGTGCAAGAGAGATCAATGTGGCTGGTGTTTTTGCGTCTTTGGTATGGTTCGCCTACTTGTCGGTGGATGAATGTCGAGAGACGTGTGCAGTGGGGCAGGGTGTGGGGGCATACTTTATTCGGTTGTCCTGGCGCTTGGCCAATACTCGGCCAATGAGTGTAGTGTGTGTGTGTGCTTACGTGTTGGCTGGCTGAATGTCTGTCTGTCTGTCTGCCTGTCTGTCAATCTAATGTAATACTACCATTGATTCATTGGTGGCGGAGTGCGTGTGTTTGTCATCCATCCATCCATCCATCCAGGCAGGTGCGCAGTCTATGCGCCAATTCGTCCGGCAGCATTTGTGGCTGATCGAGTCAGCGACATCCTGGGTCTCGCTGGCCTACCTGTCGGCTTGTCGATTGTGTTCCACATCCCATCTGCACAGCTGCTGCCCCTTCTGACACTGCAAAGCGGCAGTTGAGGTGCGGCAGGTATGTGCAAGACAATCGACAGCTCGTGCATGAGGTCATCACGCCAAGGATGGGTGGGAGCTGCTTATCTAGCCAGATTGGCCACACTGTATGGGGAAAGTTTGTGGTTGGTTCGTCTGCAGGATTCGGTCACACACAGTGATGGACCACCTGGATGCCAACATGATCAGGCCAGGCGGCATGGCATTCAGGTGCACCGTCACTGTGTGTGGACGCGTCAGACAGACGGCTCACTCGGTTCGGCATATGTGTGTGTGTATATCTTTGCCTCCATGCGTGTGCGTACGGACGCTTTGGAGCAGCAAAAGCGGGCTCAGCGACACACACACAGAGAGCAGGCGCAGAGAGAGAGAGCGAGAGTTTCCCGCAGAGGATGAGCAGAGAGGAACTAGTTGAGTGAGAGAGATACAAACATTTGTGGCTGTCAGGTCGGAAAAGACTTATCATATCACAGACATCAGTATGAAGGTCAGTACAACCCCTTCCAGCAGAACAAATGAGCCAACAGCCCCCTCCCCGGCAGAAGACCCCCTCCCCCAACACTTCCCACCACATGGCATATGGCATCAGAACTGGCGGGAGTCAGCCATTCAATAGTCCATCGCCCGCTGTCCCTCTCGAAACGTAGGCGGCTCCGCACTGGTCGAAAGCTCTGCACGCCACGCCTGCAGGCAGCAACACAGCCACCAACCCACACGCTTCAAGCTTCCTTGGCCTCCGTGTCTCACACACCACATACCTTGATGTCACGAGCAGAGGCCGTCGGAGGGGCGGTGCGGTAGAGGAAGGGCGCGCCGTGTGTGGCAAGCGACGGGATGGGTCGATGTGTCTCGTGTGCGCGGTATGGCGACGCGAGAGAGAGGGCGTGGGAGGGCGAGGGCCGGTGTAATGCATCACTGCTGCTGGGCGAGGCAGCTGCTGGCATTGGAGAGGAGCACACGGACACGGGCGACATGGGGGACCTGCGGCTGTTCTGCAGCTGGTCCCTCAGGGTCTCGCACTCAGCCTACACAACACACAGCATTGATGCATCAGACACGGACGCCTGGCTGCCTGCCTGTCTGAGCCTTGTCGGTCGGACAGGGCAAGGTGCAGTTCAGCATCGCTTACCATTGTGGATCTGAGCTGGTGTCTGAGCGCTGACTCCGTCTCTTCGAACCCGGCAAATGCCAAAACCTGATCAGGCCATTGGGATACAACACAGGGCCGTTTGTCCCACCACACGCACAGCACGCCAGATACCTGTCTGTTGTGCGCCGCCCAGTACTGCAAGCGACCGATCTGCTCCTCCAACGACTTGACCTTGGCCCTCTCGAGCTGCAGTGAGGAGCTCAGGTCACTCACCTGCAGCTGTGCCTGCTCCAGGCCGGATGCGATATCCGCCCTTGCCGCCCGCTCCCTGTCGGCCTCCTCTCTCTTGGCGGCGTAGAGGCTCTCCAGCTCCTGCACCTGCCCCCGCCTCTCCCGCTCCAGTTCCAGCTTGAGTTCGCGGGTCCTGTTGTAGGCCACGTTGTCGCTCTCTGTGAGACGCTTCCGGGCCTCTAGCAGTTCACGGTCCTAAAGACAGAGGGGGAGAGGGGAGAGGGAGAGGTGGTGAGCATTTTTTGCAAGTTGGCTTGGCTGACCACTAGTGTGCGCTCGAGGCGCTCGTCTTCCAGCTGTTTCCTTGCGGACTCCACCTGTGCCTCCAGCTCTCTGATGGCTTTACTGTCCACACACAGAACCACAGCACACCATGTCTCTCTCGACGTGAATGTGTCTCTGCCCTCTTCCTTCTCACCGCGTGGCTGCCAGCTCGTTGTCTTTCGTCGCGGTTGCTGCCTCCAGCTGGTGTATGAGGGTCTGCGAGCGGCAGAATTTGTCGATGGCTTGGTGGAGATGGCCAAGGAGGAAGGTCACCCTTGAGGTATCGTCCTTGAGATCCACATCGATGTTGACCCCATCAACCACCACCCACTAGCAGAGCAGAGACAACATGCAGAGAGCAGACAAGGGACCGAGACACCGATCGGCAGCACGCTCTTCCGTCCACACCTGCGTCGCAGGATTTTGCGGGTTGTTCACAACCACAAGAGACGGCACAGTCCCGTCCTGTCTCCCGTTGTCCTCCTTAGCGCCGGCGTCTCTCGCTGCTGGTCTGGCGGCATGCATCTCCTGAGAGAGTGTCTCATTGGCGGATCGGAGCTCCTGCATGTCTTTGTGGAGAAAGCTGATGATCCGGTCCCTCTTGTCAATCTCATGCTGACATCCAGACATCCAGAGGGCGCAGACACAGTGAGATCGGAACGACCGGCGCACCTGCATGCTGTCGATTTGCTTCTGTGTGTCTTCATCGACAGTTGTGGCAGCAGGAGGTGTTTGCCGCTTGTCCTGCTGCGTCTGCGTCTCTGAGGTGTCCTCGCGAGCAGCACGGTGGGAGTCGTACATTGACGAAATCTCAGCCTCACGACGCCTGGGCAGCGCAGCACACGCACACACAGAGGTGCATGGGTCGAATGGGTCTCTTCTCTTTCTGACCTGAGTGTGTGTCTGAGTGCATTTAGTTGTGACTCCTGCACCTCAGCGAGCCGCCGCAGCTTCTCCAGCTCCTCCGAATGACCACTGCACACACTCGGGGCAATCGATGCGTAAGGGGGATAGGACGAAAAGGGAAACGGCACCTGCAGGCATCAGGCAACCATGCACAGCAATGAACACCTTCTGCCATTAATCAAGGGAGGATTCACCTGTGTCTGCTGCTTCTTGTCTTCGACGCTCCCGGGTTCCTCTCTGGCAGCAGCAGCTTCGCGGGACGGTACCTTCAGCAGGGGCCTCGGCAGCGGGGCGGTGAGGGGATGGAACTTTTTCTCCTCACTGACAACCGCCAGTTGGTCTGTCTGCATGAACACCATTCCTTGGAGGGCGTCGAGCTGGTGATTCAGCCGGTCAAGCTCGTCGTTTCGCATGCTGTACGCGGAAGGAAAAGAGAAGGGATCGAAGAGCAGCTCCCCGGTCGAGAAAGGGCCCCAAACCAACCAGGGGCCGAGGCGTGCTGTCGATGACGAAACGACGACGGGAGGCTTGGCGGTGATGAGGTGAGGCGTGCAGAAGTAGCTGTTGGTGGCTTGGCTGCACGATGGCTGCCAGCGCTGCTCAGGTGAGAGAAGAGGAGCCAGGAAAAGCACGTAGATCTCTGATTGTGTTGTTGTTTGCCATGTGACGTCTGCTGCAGATGTCAACGGCAGCGATGCGGGATCAGCTGTTGGCACAGATTCAGGCCTATCAGACCAATCAGGCGAGGGTAGGTAATCAATCGACACTCACTCCGTTCAATGTACATTGTTCGGTTGCTTTGTGTTGTTGTCTGCTGTGGTGTGCAGGTCAACAACGGCATCGGCCGATTCTCTCAGGTGGACACCTCTGCGATCACACCACTGGTGTGGCCAGACTGGCAGAACACCAGGCAACTGTGCCATGGTCTCACGTGTGCTCTGATTCATTCATTGATCAGATGGTGGCCAATGTCACTCGTCAACTCTCTGCTGAATCGGCCCGTCTGGCCCAGCTGGCGGACAACATCGACTCGACCATCGCACTCACAACACACACCCGCACCAGGTGAAAGGGAGACCACACACACACACACAGCTCCGTGTGTGTCTTTCTGTGTGTCATCAGGGTCGGCGGTGGCACGTATCTGACATTCCCGCGGGACCCATTAGTATCGTCCTGGCACTCTCTGACCTCACGACCGTTGACCGACTCAAGGCGACAGCCCGCCACTTCAGAAACGCCCTGCGGCCCATCTTCCTCAATATTTGGCTGCGGAAGGCAATCGAGTGGGCGGGGGTGGGCGGTGTGGTGCAGTCCGACGATCAGCTGAGCCACGGCGATGTGATGAAGGCCATGTGGCTGATGGAGGAGGGGGGCGAGGGCGGCTGGGGGGAGGTGGCGGACACTCTCAGCCTCGCTGAGCATCTCGGCTATTGCCAGCTGCCCATCACTGTGGGTGCCGGAGATCTGCAGACACACGCCACCAAGGCGGTAAGCACGACGCACATGAGAAGAGGCACTGTGAGTGTGGCAATGAGTGAATGGCTTTGTGTGTGTGTGTGTCTTGAATGCAGGAGTACTCGTCGCTGCCCCGGTTCTGTGCGCAGTGGATGCTCGTCGGCCGCCATGTGGCCTTCCGCCGCCCCAACGGCCAGCAAGACGGCACACTCCAGCTCTTCCGCTACAACAATGAAATTCGCGCCATCCACAACCAACCCGGCTTCGCCATCACTCTCAACCCGCCCCTCCCCCAGCCCACCCGCCCTGTCCATCCCTTCTCCCGCCACCCCTTCCAGCAGGACGCCAGGCCGCACGACCCGCCCGTCCGCAGCCGCATTTGGTGGGCTCATGGTGTGGGCTGGACGGGGGGTGGAAACGCCGGGGGCTTTTCCGCATCGGCGAGTTCCCTGCTGAAGAGGCTGCTGCTGACTCACCGGAGTGACGCATTTGGCGACTTGTTCCAGTCACCACCAATGCCAGTAGACCGGTAAGTGGACGGATGAAGATGGCAGGTCGCTCGTGGTCTGTTTCATAACGTGGATATGTGTGTGTCAGGGGTGTGCGTGGAGGTTATCTGGACCGCATCATGACCCAATCGCCTCACACGCCCCTCGACGCGTGCTCACACGTGACGGCATGGGAGCGGGCCGATGGGACCTGTGCGCAGGTGCATGTGCTGACGACGTCGGGCGACCCATTTATCGCATGGACACGATTAGTGGGGTGTGTCTGCAGGCTCAGGTGCTGACATCATCAGCCGACGCATTCATCGCATACATTGCCTTTTTCATTCCCTACACCGACCCGAACGGTGCGCATACACGTAAAGAAAGAGCAACTCGACAACACCCCCATGCCGTCGTGGTGTCCGATCATCTGCTATCGTTTGCGTGCAGTCCGCATCACCATCGCTACCACCGAGGCGCCGGCAGCAGGTGTGGCCAATGACGCGCCATTCGCACGGCGATTCCCCCTGACGGCCGCCAAAGGGCGTCTCGTCCTCGGCCCCATCGCCCCCATCGTCCTCGACGGCCAGGCACCATAGATACACAGGTGAGAGCCACACACATGATGCAGACGACCTGATCTATGTGTCCATTGTGTGTGTTTGTTGGTGTGTGTTCTGCGGGGCGGCCGGATGGCGTCAAGGAAGAAGACACAAGTAGCTGACTGTCTGGCGGGCGGGCGGGCGGGCGGGTGGGTGGGTGGACTGGTGTGTGCAATCATTTCTGCTCGTGCATTATGTATGTTGTACGAGACCGAGTGGAACGTGTAGCGTGCGCACAGATCGCAGGGCGGTCAATTCGCTGGATGTACACCACACCACACCCATGCAAGCACACGTCTGTCTGTACAGCGACACCGACAAACACCGCACATACACCCACCCATCCATCCACCACACCCATCCACCAAAGTCCGTTCGTCCGATCATATGCATGCATTGATTGCATTGCATTCAGTTCACGAGAGTATGCGCGTGGCCTTGTTGAAGATGAACGCACGCACCTCCAGATTGCGCATCTTGGACGAACCTGAGGGACACAAACAGACAAAGGCATGGCGTGGCGTGGCATGGGTCGACTCGACAAGGAATAAGTGGGTGCCAGCCACACAACATGCTTTGGAATGGCTGCTGTGCTCACGTGTCCATCTTTTGAAGAACATCGAGTGCCCCACCACACAGATGGACTTCTCGGAGCGGCCACTTAGGAAATTGGCCCAGCGCTCGGTCCGCCTGCACACCACACACACCCCTGTGGACGGCACGCCTCTCTGTAGTGCCTGAGGGATCCGATCGCCACGCCTCGCACCCCTCAGGGCTCACTCACTCGTGCAGCAGTGTCGATGGCTCGTGTGGGATCTTTCGAAAGAAGGCCAGAGGCGCAGATGGGTCGCCTTTGTGCCTGACATACCGCAGGCAGTATCGTGGCAGGCAACAGAAACAGGAGCCGTGCGCATGGATCCATGGCAATGATTGCCTTCCTGCCTACCACCACTCCTCATCGTGTTCGTGGAAGTGCGTGAAGTCCCAATGGGGGTGCCGCCGCTGCAGCTCACTCCTGGGCAGACCGATGTCGCCCGTCGTCTCGCACTTCTCGCGCAGCAGGGGGTGCAGCAGCAACGGCTTGTCGCTGCCCTCAAAGGCCTGACTAACACACAAGACAAGACAAGACAAGATGGAGGAAGTGTGTGTATGCTTGACGTTTGTTTGATGACCATGGCAGCAGTGTCGATGGATCGTGACAGGGGTGAGGAGTAGATGGCGTCGATCTCAAGACGGCCGGCCTCGAGACTCGCGTTCAACTGTCACACACACCGAGATGGCAGTGAGTGACGGATGGAGGCCACATGACATGACGCCAGTGATGCCGACGGTGTGTGTGATTTGTGTCCACCATACCACTTGGCTGAGGTTCCTGATCTGATCCCTGGCTCTCTCCGTCAGCGGAGCATCGTAGATCTCTGACAGACAGGCACCCACGACAAACACACGCAGGCAGAGTGCACCCAGGCGCCCGCAGTTTCCATCCATTGGCTGCCTTACACACCAGGGTCGTATGTGATCATGTCCCGCCACCTCAGCTTTGTGAAGCTCTCCCGCCTCCACTTGTTGTACTCACTCTGCCCGTGCCGTATCAGATACACACGCATCTCGTCATCGCTCAGCGGCCGGGCAGTCTCGCGCTCGCGAACGATCTCCAGACTATCCTCTGGCGGCTTCCTGTCACTCAGCAGAGCCCATGATGCCAACATCGGCGCGCGGCGAGCGAGCCAGCGGGCGATGGACTGATGGCTGCGGAGATTCTGTGGTCGCCGGGCAACGAAAGATGCAGCAATGGGCAGTAGGATGAAGCTGTGGACAGCCCGAAACATGGAGATTACTTAGGCCTCTTGCGAGCCAAGCTTGCAGACGGCGATCGCGATCTCCTCTTTCTCTCTTGGCTTGTTTGCCAGGTTCTGCTTGTTGTTGACTCGCCCAGCCATCGCCAAGGCGAGATCTGTCAGCATCTGCCCACATCCATGCCGAGCGAGCTCGAGAAGCAGCTTCAGCGGCTCCGCACGGACCGGCAAATCATCGCGCCGCCAAAGCGAGGCGTTCCCTCCCTTCTCTTCGACTTCCGACAAGCGGCGTTTGTGGAAGACTCGGTGATCCACGAGCTGGCAGCCAACAGCTTCGCCGAACTGGCCACAGAGGGAGGGCATGAGTCAGACGGCTGGGGCGAGGTGAGTGCCGTGTTTGAGGGCCGGAGGAAGGACAGGTCGTTTATGCGTGAGGATGAGGCGGGGGAGATGGACGAGATGGTCGGCAAGCTGTTGGACCTGCTGTCGCCGCACTTGCTGCGCGAGGAGGTGAGAACATCACCACTGCACCGTTCACTCATGGCATGTGTCTTTGTGTGTGTGGTGGCCATATGTGTGGGTGTATGTGTGGGTGTATGTGTGGGTGTGGGTGTGGGTGTCTGTCAGGCCCAGCACTGCCTCGAGTATCTGATCCGGCAGCACAGCATCCAGACTCACATGCCCGACCACATCATCAGCGTGTTCCTGCCCTTCCACGACTCTCTCCCCTTCGCCAAACTCGTGGCCCTGCTCAACATACCCACACACAGCCAATGGTCGGTGGGCCTGACAGAGGTGCATCCGCACACAAACACACATCCTTATCTGCCTCGCTGTATGGTGTGCAGGGCGTTTCTGTCATCTGTGCGGGAGACCCTGGTGCCGATCAAGCGGTCGACTTTGGTCAACCACATCATGGGCAGGGACCTGTCGGTGCTGGACGCCATGGCGGCCACACTGCAGCGGATCGTCATCCAGCCCAAGAGGAGGAACCTGCCTTACTGCACGCTATTCGCTTCCGTCGTGTGCGATTGCCTTGGTGAGCTCGACACACACACACACACACACACACAGAGAGAGAGAGAGAGAGAGAGAGAAAATGAGAGAGGATCGGAGGCACATAGGCACACAGGTAAAGATGCGCGTTGTTGGTGTAGGTTCTGGGAGAAGAGAGGTGAGTGACGGGTTTGTGCGCAAGGTGTTGGAGGTGGTCATCAGTGGCCTCAAAAGGGGAGGCGCCAAAATGAAGGAGCTGAGAGCAGGTAAGGTACATCCACCCACGCCCACACACACATACACGCACTCATCCAATCCAATGAGTGCATTATCCTGCTCTCGTCATGTCAGCATGTTTGGCTGTCCTGGACGCCCTCGCCACCACCACCCCCCTCTCCCTCCCCGTCACTCAGTCGGCCATTCACCCACTCGTCCAGACCGCACTCAAGACCACCGACGGGCCTGTCGGCCTGGTGCCATCCCTGCGAGTGCTCACCAAGCTCATCGACATGCACGCCGCCAAAAGAGAAGACGGTATGCCCGTTGGCGGTGTGATTCCGCGCAAGAGCGTGCTGGCGCTGTGTGGGGCGAAGGACGATCTCCTGGACGCCCTCGGACAGGTGAGTACGCCAGAACCCACAATGCCATCAATTATCTGCGCTCGCGCCTTCTCTTGTGCGTCAGCTGGACCGAGAGCAGCATGACCTTTCCTCCCTGCTCACGGCGTTGGTGCAGTCGGCGATCGCCGTCATTGCCGACTCGCATGGAGGGAGCGACAAGGCAACTGCCCCTGACGACGGGCAGGCAGCCATGGGCTTGCTGAGCAGCCTGTTCGAAGTGCCGGAAGGTGAGAGTGGTCTCCAGCATGCCTCTTGCCACTCTTCTGTGTGTGTATGTGTGTGTGTTTTCAGGCGAGTCGTCGGCTGCCGGCTGTGTGTCCCAGCGGTATCTCTACGAGATCACACTGGCCCTCTTCGACGCCTTTCACTCAGCCGCAAGGAAACCCCCCGCAGCAGACGACCAGCAGAACGGTCAGCAGAGAGTGAGGTATATCCTGGTATCCGACAGACAGACAAACAGACACTCGTCATCTATCGTGTGTGCGCGTGTGTGTGTGTGTGTGTGTGTGCAGGAGGGCCGTGTCACGAGCCCGGCCCCCCGGCTTTGATGGAGGCTTTGAGATCGCTCTTCAAGGCCATTGAGGTGCGGGACCCTGCCGTCATACATCAGGCACTCGGGGACACCCTCAAGCAATGCAACGTAAGCGACCCGCACGCACACACACACACACGCACACTAAACACACCAGAGCAAGACGTGTGTGTGTGTGTTGGGGGGTGGTGTGTGTCACAGGCTCCATGCACGCCTCTAGTGAGGTTTCTGACGCTCTCTGCCACTGCTGCTGGTGGGGCCGCCATGGCGCTGCCCACGAAGGCGTCGAACATGAGTGTGTACGAGGCGCTCGTCGACAGCAACGATCAGATCAGGGCACAGGTATGCAGAAAGAAGAAACAACACACAAGAGTCGCATGTCCATGTGTGTGGTCTGTTGGGGTGGGGTGGCTTGGTTTTCCAGTCGGTGACTGCGGCCCTCAGCTACATTGAGGAGCGGGCAGCCCAAGAGTCGGAGGAGGGCAGCACCGCACTTTCATCCCTCGCGACCTTTGTCGCCGATCGGATGTTCGACACAGACACGGACACCGCACACAAAGTGAGGTGACACCCCCTCCCTCCCTCTCTCACCTACCCATCCCCCCCATCCACTCTCGTGTATCATGAATGGGTCAGGTGCTGTCGTGCTCCTCACTGTGGCGATTGGTCCCCGCTGACACGTCATCGAGCCTCTTGGTGTCCCTGCTAGTGCGGCTGGTGGAGGACAACACGCCACCAATCACCATCACGTCGGCAGGCGACGACCGGCCAGCAATGACGCTGCTCAAGGTAGAGGCCAACCCACACACTCTGTGGACTTTTCTGTGTGTGCGTGTGTGTGTGTGTGGTCAGGCGCTCTTCGCCTCTTCCCGCGCGTCGCGCCTGCTCCCGCTCGTGCTAGCATCCATCCCGCCCTTCTGTCCACCCTGCCTGCTGCCTCTCCTGCTCACCCTGTTACACGCTGTCAACGACTATGACACCCCTGAGGACCTCGCGGCCGCTCTGGGGACGGATGAGGCGAATGTGGAAGTGTTTCTGGGCGGCCTGGTTGGGTGCGTGAGGTCGGTGTCGTTGGGGGGGCTGAGAGTGAAGGGGAGAAGGGAGAGGGGCGGTGGTGATGGCGCTGGCGGCCTGAATCAGTGTAAAGAAGTCTATGGCAGGTGCGGCATCCATCCATCCATCCATCCATGTGATCATATCTCTGTGTGTGTGTATGTCTGTCAGGTGTGTGTCGTCTCTGCGTCAGTCGCGGGCGCTCTTCCTGAGGGTGACGTCACCATGCCTGCAGCCCTTCACCCCACCGCTCCTCATCACCATCCCACAGGCCATCACAGTCGAAGGCGGACCCATCGGTACACACACACAAAGGATGATGGATGGATGTCACTCGTGCCTCTGTGTTTGAGAGCAGGTGGGGTGTGGGCGTGTGGGGCCCTCCTGGATGTGGCCGTTGATGCCCTGGGGAGCAGGGCGTCTTTGACCGAGGAGGAGGACACGGTGGATCGGCTCAAAGGGATGGTCCAGAGTTTGTGGGAGGGCGTCATGCAGAGAAAGGCCAATGGAGGTCCTGCACATCCCATCCATCCACACACACATTAGATGCTCTCTTTCTCTCCGTCTGCAGAGGAGGTCCACCGGGGTGTCAAATCGTGTCTCAACGACGGCATGACCTCCCTCGCCACCCTCGCCACCAGGATCGACCCAACCGTTCCCCTCACCCCCACAGTTCAAGAGAAGGAGCCGCTCATCGTCACCGTCACCCGCATGTGCCTCACCGACCCACAATCGTTCCAGGCGCCCCTGCAGGCCGTGCTGGCGTCCTCACGTCCCCTCGCCCTCACTGCCGCAATGGGCGTGGCCATCAGATCGCTGTCGGCCCCTTCTGGTGACACCGATGTGGTGGCTAGTGAGGCGGCGAGCGTCAATGGACTGTCTTTGGTGGATGAGGCGCTGAAGAGCGAGCAGAGGGGCGGCAAGGGCATGCCAGATCAGGTGGGTCTGGTGTGTGCAGGAGAGTGAGAGGTGTGTATGTGTGTTCCTGTATGCAGCGGGTGGTAGTGCCGGCATTGCTGCTGCTCATGTCGCCGTCGAGGATGGTCCGAACGGCAGCCATGCAGCTCGTCGCCAACCCACTACGGTCAGTGTCAGGGAGGGAGGGAGGTAGGGAGGGACACACACGCCCACGCTCTCGCTCACCATGTGTGGGTGGTGCTGTGCAGCCGGGGGGCGCTGTGCAGCGCTGCAGGGGAGGAGAATGGCACAACAGGTGCAAGTGTGTCGCTCGACAAGGCCACTTGGTCGATGCTGCAGAACGCCCTCATAAGGAGGCAAGCTGAGATAGAGGCAGATCAGGTCAGCACGCGACTACGAATATACCCTACCCACGCACACACACATGCACCTCCCGTGTGTGTGTTTGTGTGTGTGCGCTCAGGCGATGGTGGCGTCCATTGTGGGCAGTCTTGTGAGCCAAGGAGAGGGAGATCAGAAGGGCGGTGACCCAATGAGGCTGGGGACGGCCATTCTGCAGGGGATCAGCCGGATGCCAACACCCATCCAGGTGATGGATGCCATGATCTCGCGACCATCTCTGATATCTTCTGGCTGTTGATTTATCCAGGCCTCCGCCATTCCGCTATTAAACCACCTCCCGCTCCCCACCCTCCTGTCGTGTGCCATGCCACTGATCCAGCAAGCCGCCGAAGACGCCATCACAGCCTTCCAGACACAACCACCACAGGAAGACCAAGACCACCCAGGGCCCCCTCCCGCCCCCTGCCGCACTCTCCTGCACGTCTTCTCTCGACTCATCAATGACGCCGACCAAGGCAGAGGCAGCGACAGCACCAGCACAGCCTCACCAGGCTGGTCGCACTTCTCGTCCGCGTACCTCTCGGACGTTGTCACGCCCATCATGGATGCGCTCACACAGCAACAGCAGCAGCCAGAGGGCGAAGGTGCGGCAAAAGAGGGGACCGCTCGGCTGGCGTGGCTGCTGCTGCCCCTGACGCACCCACGTGTATGGGCGTCGATGGACGGCCAGCAGCAGCAGCAGCAGAGTGAGTTGGTGCTGTCACTAGCCGAGAATGGGGCGAAGTGGCCGTATCGTGCGGGCAAGGAGGGTGGCGATGGTGACGGGGTGGTCAGTGGTGGCGTAGCTGGTGTTTTGAGGCGGCTGGTGGGCCACGTGGTGCTTGACGGGACAGTGGTAGCAGCGTGTCTTGACGCGATTGGCTCGGAACAGTCATCAGAGCGGGCACCTCGCGTGAGCAACGGAGGGCGCACACACAGAGAGAGCCAGATGAGATGTGCCGGTTTTTCTCTCTCCGTCTGCTTGTGCAGGATGTGCTTTTGTCCGAAGTGGTTCGGACGCAGCTGCTGCACCCCTCCCTCCCGCCGTCCAGCCCATCCCTCGCCGCCCCCCTCACAGTCACACTCATCCGTGTCGCGCAGGCAGCCCTACCACCACCACCACCACCAGCATCACAAGACGACCACAGCCAGACGCCGACACATCGAGTGGCGCAGAACCTGCTGGCGTCCATCGCTATCCAGCTGCAGAGAGACCTAGCGGCCTCTCCGGCTGCCGGCGAAGAAGATGGAGATGAGGAAATGCAAGATGCAGAGGAGGGAACCACCGTGTTCACCGCTTCGCTTCTCTATGACGCGCTGGAGAGGCTCGCGGACTCTTCCCTGGTCCTGTCGCCCCCGTTGCTATCGGCTGTGCTGCGAGTGGCGGCGTCGTCAGCCGCGTGTTTTGCGGCGAGGGAGGAGGGGTGGGGCGGAGAAGGGCTGCTTGAGCGGGTTATGGGCATCCTCGGCAACGTGGCTGTGAGGGATGCGGGTGTGCTGGCGGACGGGGTGGTGTTGGCGGCACTGAGGGCTCACCTGGGGCCCATTGTCATGGCCGACCTTCTGGAAGACGAAGGAGAGATGACGACCGACGAAACCGGTAAGCACACGAACACAATAAATACCTACCTGTGGGCTTGTGTGTTTCTAACTGCCTCTCTCCTTGTGTGTCTGCGTGTCTGTGCACCTTTACTCTGTCCCTGCTCTCAGCGTCGGTCCCCTTGGCCATCCGCCGGTCCCGCTCCGTCATGCACGCCCTCCTCTCCCCCCTCACGCGCCTCTCCTTCACCGACCCGTCCTCCCACCTCTCAACCACATTCACCTCTATCGCATCCGACCTCATCGACGCCATCGGCACGGAGGGTGCGCTGGGGTGCAGCCTGCTGCTGCTGTGCATGGCTTGGGAGGAGGGCGGCGCGGCCGATGTGCGAAAATGGGCGAAGCGGCGGAATAGGGAGAAAGATGTGGAGGAAATGGTGGAGGAGATGAGCAGGAGGGGGAAGAAACGGAAGAAGGCAGACGGGCATGGGGATGAGGCCGGGGGCGGTCGGTGGGACACCAGCAGCGAGTCCGTCGTCACCTGCGGGATGGAAATCATGGAAAGGTCGGTCCGGTGGGCAACATCCCCTCAGACACACACACAGACACACGACAGACAACTCTCTCTGTCTTGTCTTGTGTGTGTAGGTATGACCCATCTGCGCAGATGACAGCCATCGGCCAGCTGGTGCGCAGCGCCGTCGGCCTCTACATGAGATCAGCAGACAGAGACGGAATACGCGCCGAGTGGGAGGCCGGCGAGCAGCAAGACCTCACCAGCTGGGAGACCACCCTGCTGCCCGCTGCCTACCTCCAATCCAAGACGGCCAGGTGAGGTGACCGAACCCACCAAGCTCCCGCCGTCACTTCCCCCATCCCATAAGCATGGTGTTGGTTTCTGTCTGGTTGCTGTGCTGCAATGATTGCAGCGATCGTTCGGTGGCCAGCCGAGTGGCGATTCTCGCTCTGAAGATGGCGGCCAGGTTTATCGAGAGCTATACTGGTGCGGCTGGGCTGGACGAGGCGGTCTGTCGGGGAGATGAGGAGCTGCGAGGCATGACGGACACGCTGACCGCACTTTTCTACTTACAGGTGTGTCGTCTTGGCTGATAGAACCGTCCGTCCTTACTTGAGCATTGATACGGTGTCTGTCTTTGGCATTTCTTCACTCTCTCTCTCTGTGTGTGTGTGTGTGCAGCGTTTGGTGGATGTTGTCGAGGCTGAGGGAGAGGAGGGTGACCCGCACATCGACACCCTCAAGACACAATGCAACGCCGTCATCGCAGACACTCTCAAGTAAGCTCCCACACACAGCCAAGCACCGTTATCCTCTCTCTCTCTCTCTCTCTCTCTGCACAACCACACAGGTCGGTGTCGCCCATGTCTGGCCTCATTCGGCTGGCCCTCTCCTGCTGCCACATCGCCGAGGATGGGGACCCCGACACCGATGGTGGGGAGCGGTTCGCCCCCCTGGTGCTGCAGCGGCTGCTCTCACGCATGACGACCGCCCTCAAAACCCTCCACAGAAAGGCAAGGCAGGCACAGGAGCGTGCTGTCCATTCGTGTGTTGCGCGAGCGAGTATCGGTGTGCGTCTGTCTGCGTGGTGGCGCGTCAGGTGGTTTCCGAGTCGTCCCAGGAGGGCAGAAGGGCAGCCAAGCGACGCAAGAAGGACCACCCCACACAGGCCGAGCGAGAAAAGGCCAGCCTTCCAGTAGGAAAGACCACGCACACTCACACACACATACAGTCACAATCATTCACTTACTCTTTCCCTTCACCGATGGTGCCTTTTTCATTCAGGAGGCTCACCGATCGTCGAGTGCAGCAGCCGCGCCCCTCTACAGCCGATTTCTCGCCTACCTCGCGCGCAAAGTCCTCAGACGCGAGCCAGCCTGCCCCCCGCCCCTTCTCCGGCACTACTGGTCGTTCGCGAGCGCACTGGTGGAGCTGACGGGCAGCCTGTTCGGGGGCGTGTTTGCGGACCATGTTTTGCCGCATGTGGTGGGCTACTTCGGCGAGAGGCTGCCGGCCTTGTGGAAAGAAGACCTGTCGGCTGATGGGAGGAACGACATGCTGCAGGTCAGTTCGCCCCCTCTCTCTCTTCTCTCTCTCCCTGTGTTTCGTGTCGACGGTTCTGTGTGTTGTGTGTGCGACGGCAGGTTGGTGTGTGTGTGGGGTCTTTCGTGTCGTCGGCCAGTGCGTCACTCGACAAGGACAGCCTGCTGGCCCCAGGCAATCAGATGGTGCCTGCCATGCTGACAGCAATGGAGACCCTCCTCGCCACCCAACACACAACCGACGGCAGCAGCACGAAGTCCTTCTGCACCAGCGACCGCTATCACAACTTCCTCGCCACCACGCTGCACGCCCTCACCTCCCTCACACATCGGCTGGGCAGCGTTCTGCTCTCGCACATCGATCGGTGCGTCACGCTCGCCGCCCACCCACTCCTGACGCACCTTGCGTCACGGCATGAGGAGCTGCGGGCCGCCGTGGACGGTTTTGTGTGTGCGGTGGGTGAGAGGATGCCGCTGCGGTCGGTGATGCCTGTGGTGATGGGGTCTGTGCGGGAGGGGAGGTGGCTGAAGGTCTGTCGGGCGATGGAGACGCTGGGCAAGGCTGTGGGCAAAGCTGACGACGGTAAGATCCCGCACACACATACGCCGGTCCCCATCTCTCTCTCTCGCTCTCTCTCTCTCTCTCTCTCTGCCCTCGCTCTCCTTGTGTGTGTCAGAAACAGTTGCTCAGCAGCTGTCCAGCCTGTCCAAGGTCTTCCTGCTCGCGTTCCATCTGCCCGCCAAGGCCATCGACACCCTTGCGGACCAGATGGTGGCCGAGGACCCCCCTCCCTCCCCCATGACGCCCCTCTACTGGCAGCCACTCATCCATCGGCTCTATGGAGGGCCCACCTTTGCCAGCCACGCTGGCCTGTGGGAGGACGTCGCTATACCGCTGGCCATCAGGGGGCAGGGCGACGCACAGCGGGACAGGTGAGTGAGAGAGGGAGGGAGGGAGGGAGGGAGCGGACATGCACTTTCTGCATTCTCTCTCCCTGTGTGTGTGTGTGTGTGTGGCTAGGGTGCTGGAAGGCCTGTTGGGTGCATCCGATGCCATGACGGACGAAGGTGACCGCCGTGAGGATGACACCACGGCCGTGTGTGGCCTTGCACAGGTCGAGAGCGCCATCGCCGATGCGTTTGCATGCCTTTCTGCCAAGCTGACGGACCAGCAGCTGAGGCCGCTGTTCATCAAGCTGCAGAGGTACACACACACACACACACACACACATACACACGACCGGGTGAGCGATTGTAAGTAAGACACCCACACACTTACACAGGTCGGCTCGCGGCAAGCGCGTCCACGTGCTGTCGTCGAAGCGACTGGAGGAAGACGAAGAGGGGCAGGAGACAACAGAGGGCAGCAGCGAGGTGGAGAAATCCAAGGAAGAAAACAGGTATGCAATCCACATGCAGAGCGACTGACCGACAGACCTGCAGTGACGGGTGTGTGTGTGGTTCCGAAAGGCTGGCGGCGTCAGCGCGTCTCTTTGTGTTAGCGTACGAGCGCATGGTTCGTAGGACCGGTGGCGGCCTGATGGCGTCGGCCTACCTGCCTCTCATCCAGCCAGACCTCGAGGCCATCCTGCTCTCATGCCACCAACAGGCGCTCATGCTCGCCACACGACTCAAGGTACACCTTTACGTCAAAAGAACGAAGCCATGGTTGCCTCGTGCAAGCGGCACTGAGAGCGTGTGTATGTGTGTGTGTGTGTGCGTCTGCAGAGGTTGGCGGCGTCATCGGGTCAGTCAGGCGCTAAGCCGAAAGGCGCAACGATAGCCGACATGTGGGTGGGGCAAGAGAGTGAGGCCGACAAGGAGCTGAGGTGGCGCACGTGGTACTGGGCAGAGGTGGCGCTTCCGTGCCTGCTCGCAATCGCCACATCCGTCAAGAACCTCCCCAGTCAGTGAGCAGAGCAGACAGCCATCCACTCACTCACAAAAGGAAACAGCCATCGCTTACTGTGGATGGTCGGTATGGTCGGTTGGTCATTCGTTCGCTCAGGTGAGAGCACCTCGGACGTGTTCGTGTCGTCTCTGTTGCCCGCGTGTGTGTCCCTTCTGGATGTGCTCAACCTGATGCCGCGCATCGACAGCAGCCACCCACTGGTGCAGCATGACTTTACCAACAGCAGCAGCGGTGGCACGGCAGCTGAGAATGGCGGCAGCACGCAGATAAGTGTGGGTGGCGTGCATCTCTGTCTGGGTGTTTGGACGGCGGTCAAGTGCGTGGCGGTCGCTGTCGGCGTGCGGATGTCGCAGGAGGACACCAAGGTCAGTCACACCGACAGGCAGACAGACAGACATGTGTGGAATGCATTGCCTTACAGACAGCAGGAAGTATTTATCGCTTGTGTTGTGTGTGCAGTTGATCGAGTTCACCAATCTGATACTGCAGAAGCTGGCGCACCCCAATGCCAAACAGAAACTCGCCGTCGTCCTGGTATGTGTGTATTGTATACAATCAACCAGAGCACGCCGCGCCACGCCAGGCCACGCCACCTCTCTGCCTGTCTCATGTTTGCGCCCTTCCTCTGACTGCGTGTGTTGTGTGTGCAGTTGTGTGATGCGGTGTGGAGCTCGTGCGAGGCCAAGCTGTGCTGCGCCATGACCCAGATCATGAGTGCCCTCAGCGAGCTGCTCGACGGCGATGACGAGGGCGTCGAGGCGGTGGCCAGACGGTGGATGAGGCACATGGAGCTGTACATTGGAGCCTCTATCGAGGAAAAGCTCAAGAGGTAATCAACACATCGATGATACTCATGTGGGTGCGTGGCGATTGACTGCGATGGTTGACTGACGTTGGTATCAAAACCATGACGGACGGACGAAGTCCTTGTCATGATGCAGACAGGTCACGCACGTGTGAACGTCCAGGCATTCCACCATTGAAACATCCCATCGATCCATCCCGCCACATCTGCCCGGCCACGCACATACACGAGGAAAGCACTCCCACCTGCCTACATCAAGTCGACCTACGCCACACAGAAAAACCGACCGATCGACGGACAGACCAGTCAGCCAGCGATTAGCTCGCCCTACGACATCAAAGTCACAGCTACTTCATGTACATAAGAAGGCAAGAAGTAGTGGCGCCCGAAGAGACACGTGTCTTCGGCAGCTGGCAGAGGGCGGGCATTGCTACTCTCGTGGTGTCAACACTGATTACTTCATCGGTTAAAGTTGACCCTGAGACGCAACCGCTCAGCCTCACCCCAGGAGACAGCCACACACACCATACGTAATCACCAGCACCACAGACAGACACAGGTAGAGATAGACATTCATGCAGGCAAAGGTGAGACCAGACAGTCATCATGTTGCAGTCAGTACATTACACTACATTACAGTCACATACAGACCTCCTTTAGGTCAGCGCTGTACCAACCAAGTGGTGTGTGCTTCTTGTGCGTGTGGAAAAGTCGTGTGTGTGTGGATACGTGCACACAACACTGTCCCGGGGCATGCAAATCGATTAAAACATCCCATCGTCCCATCTGCTGAGCTCAGAAGACACCTACACGTATACACGTACGCACATACTCGACGACACGACACTCTCAACATGCATCTCCCGCCATGCACACCTGCCTACCTGTCTACAAATGATCCAGAAGACGCCACACAGAAAAACCGACCGACCGATCAGCATGGGTAGCGAGGCTCGTCAGATGAGAAACAAAAATCACAGCTAGTTGCTCACGTCAGAAGGCAAGGAAGGACGGAAGCCGCAGGAGAGTACCACACACAACACGCATCCACGAGTCCCGCACATAAACATTAGCACCACAGCAACACAAAGACGGATTAGACAGCCACACCCGTGCACGCACATGTGAGACCAGTCAGTTATCGCAGTGAACACTCACACACGGACCTCCATTAGGTCGACGCTGTCATACGGACTCTGCGAAGACACGGATGCCTCTGTGGCCTCCTTGGAGGCAGTGGGCGGATGGCAGCTCTCTTCGTCCATAGTCTCGTCGCCACGTTGCTGTTCTTCCTTCCCTTTCAGAGACGCCTTCCTCATGTACGTGTTGTCCATGATCAGCTTGTTCAGATGCAGCGACGGTGCCTCCACCAGCAGATATAGCACACACGCTACCGCAAAGCCCAGGACGATCACCGCGGGGAAAGACACCACTGTGTTAGCTACACACACACATACAGACACAGAGAGAGGGATATACAGACATCGGGTTCTTGCATCAGGCTGACCATATGTCAGGAAGATGAGGTTTTTGGCGCTGTATAGAAGGGCGGCAATGACGGGCAGGTGCACCAGGTACAGAGTGTAGGTCAGTCTTGCAAATGGCCGGTAGAGGCTAAGCGAGAGGAGCCTGTTGACATTCGGCGTCATGCCGGTGGCGCAGCAAAACACCACCCACAGCACGCCAAGCCCCCACACAGACCTGCACTCACCAGATCACACCTACAACCACATGAGACCAACACCTTTTCTGTGTCTAAGCGACAAGCTGACCGTGAGAATGTGTTGTAGAAGAACGTCTGGACCGGTGTCCAAGGCGTGCTTGGGATCTTGTGGGCACTGTACTGCACGAAGATCAAAAACAGCATGGCACTCGCCAGCAGCACATGCAGCCCCACTCGGCCGAAGCGCCTCAGCCGCAGCAGCCAGCGCCGCAACTGCTCTTGATGCTCAGACACCAGCAGCGCACCCATCTGCGTACACCAGAAGGGCAGACAGGACACACAAGTGAGGGGACAAGGAACGTGGGCAATGCCTTGTTTTGCTACCATTCCGAGCAGGTAGGGTGCGATTCTAGTCCACGGCTTGATGTAGAACTCATCGTCTTCTAGCAATGCGAAGAACCCGACCTGCCAGCCCTTCAGGATGTTCCGTGTGCCTGCACGCCAATCACATGCATTCTCGACGAGAATAACGCTTTTCGGCGGACAACGGACCAGTGACGACCCAGCAGGCGACCAGCATTGTTCCCATCACCACCCGGGCAATCCTCTTGGAATACCTGCAGCCAGATCAACGTGGATGAGCGCGGCACGAAGGGAAGTGAGAGCGATTCTCATGCGTACCCGCAGTAGATGGCCATGAGGAGAATGCCGATTACGAAGAACTGGAAGTCATTCGCCAAGTACCACGTCCCTGACACATACCACATCCGTGACGCTCATGTTATTGTCCTGTGTTGTCCATGTGTCTGTCCACCTACATGGCATGCACCCGAACGCAAGTGGCCGTTCAGAAGGTACAAAGTTGTTGATATAGAGGAGGTTCGCCCACCAGTACTGCTGACACGCAGACGGGCTGCCCTCAGCCGCAGGCACAAGTATCGGATTGAATGTGCGGTGAAGTGGGCCGGTGAATATCGGCCAGAGAGGTCCGTTTGACACGTGGGGCGCGACGAACTCCCACACACCGATAAAGAAGGCATAAACCACACTCATCCGGATCCACCTGCACACACACCGATAACAAAGGGTTGCGTAAGCGTCACTGGATGGCCGCCTATTGTCGCCCCACCCACTCCCTCACCTATGCAGCACGGCCAGTGGCACGTTGATTCGCGAGTTTCCCGTTCTGGCCACATGCTTGAGGGTCACGAACACAAGCAGAAAGCCCGAGAGGAGGAAGAAGGTGTCGACAGCAAAGAATGCACCCGTGACGACCTGAAACGAGACCTTGCCCACTGAAAGACGGACAGGTGCATACTTACAGCGATCGGAAAGGAACCAATGCATTTGTCTGTCGCGTACTTGCTTCAACGAGATCCTGGGCTCACCGAAAACATTCACAAAAGGGCAAGTGAATTAGTCCATTCCATGCATGATTCGTTGCCTGCTCACCGGGTAGTTGATGGCAGGCATGGCTTGGTACAGGATGAACAGGTGTGCCAACAGGATCCAGACGATCGACACGACTCGAATGCCGTGCAGACAAGAAACCTCACCGTCACCCTGGCCAGACAACCGAAAAAGGGCACACCGCGTGCACCCGCTGCGTGTGTGTCGTCATCGTACCTGCTTGGTGCTCCACAGTCCGCGCCAGTTGTCTTCATACAGCAAAGAGCAGCAAGGTATGAATGACAGGAGACAAAAAATTCTGATACAACACCACAACTGAACTGATACCTGGCAAGTAGAATGCCGTCAGTGCCCTCTCAGCGATTGACGGCTCTCTTCTCCCTCCGTTGGCTTCCTTCTGGCGCCACACGGCCATGGCCGATGCCGCCGCGATGAGCAGCACGAGCGCGCTCGATATACCGATCATCACATAGAAGCCAGCCGACATGGCCGGCGCATCGGTGGGGCTGCAGGTGGCCTCGACCGTCACATTGTAGTTAGGTGTTCCTTCCGGTGGACACAGCAAGGCCCGCCAGAAGAGGCAGTGGCCGACGGGCATCATGGCGGCCATGCCCATGCAGTCGTCCACCTCACACGCCATCCGCGCCATGGATGCGTACTTGCTGCCGTCACATGTGGGTGCCACGCACTGCCCGGCGGTCACGAAGATGTTCTTGTAATCCACCACACAGTAATGGGCCGTCTTGAGCTCGTGACACGCGTCCCAGTTGGCCAAATCGTTGACGGCTCCCGGCGGCTGGCCCATCGGAGCGCACTCGAGCGTGTCTGCGAGAAGCTGGGCCTTCGTCTCGTTGGAAGTCGACGAGTGGAAGCAAGACAGGTGGATGTTCTCATCAGCTATCGACGCCGTGCTGCATGGCACAAACAGGGAGGGGCGTGCGGGGTGAGTATGAATGTGTGATCGAGGCTGCGGCTGACCTGTTGGCGACCTTCCCACACATGGTGCGGTTTTGCTGCATCACCATGCATGGGAGCCGCGCACTGGCGTCCATCTCGATGCATGATGTGGACGGCTCACATGCCTCCTCGGCAAATCGATATATCTCACGCAAGTCATCCTGCACGCACGCACACCCTCGTGACAAACACTCACGCACGTGCCTACGGCTGCATCCATTCCTCCCCCCTCTCTCTCCATCCCCCTCTCTCCATCCCGCGCATCCTACCCGTGTGCACTGCTCAGGAAGGCACAGCTCCATAGTTTCGCTCAGCGACTTTGGAGAGAGGCAGTACTTCATGGCCTGGTCGCTGGATGAAGCGTCAAGGCACTCTTGCTGGCTGGCGACTGAGGGTGGTGCGAAGCCTCCCTCTATCGCGCGGCTGACGGCGAGCAGGCACTCGAAATCAAGGCCTTCGACGAGGAGGGGGAGGAGGAACAAGATCAAGGCCAGCAGGGGAGCAAGGGTCGCGCGGGTGGCCATCCTGGGGTGTGTGGAAGGTGTGGAGGGGTCCGTTCGTCAGTGTTTAGCTCTCCTCGGTGTGCACAGGTAGGGGAAGGGTCGGACCGATCTCTTGAAGGAGAGGAGATCTATGGAATCTGTGAGCCGGAGGTTGTCGAGGGCATCACTGTAAGCCTGCTAGGCCCACGTTTTCTAGCGATCTGTGGCGCTTCGCCTCTGCGCGATCCTGCGATCTTGAATTCCTCGTGAAACTGACCCTTACCTAAATCACGAGCAAAGAGACTCGTCCCCAATCAGTGCATCCGTCTGGTATTCATTGCAGCGAGACCCGGCGACCCCCGAAATCGAACCTTACTGGGAACCAGCTGCGTTACATTGGATCGAAGCAAAAGACAGGGCACCGGATATCGCCGGGTGGCAAAGGGAGTCGGCCATCACTATCGGCATACGCACACGAGAAATTGGCAGGGTGGGGTTGGGGGTAAGGGCCAGGGACGGACGAAGTGTCTCAATTGAAGTGTCTTGTGCGCGAAGGGCATCCAAGCTGGCCGAATGGTTGCCGAGACCGCCGATCAGGAGAGAGCCGGCGCCTGCGACAAATCAGAGAGGGATTGCAGGAATGGCACAAGATCGTCAAGGAGGAGATACGAGCGCAAGAGCAAGAGCGGGCCGAGAAGCGTGCAGCACAGAAGCTTACTGGCCAGGGGGGAGATGGGGCAAGAGGAGCAGCCGCGGTGGCTGGAGCACTCCTCCAGTTTCATGGTCCAGGGCTTCGCCAACGCACTTTATGACGGCATGGTGGTCGGGCTGCAAGAGCTGGCCAGTCGCTGCATCGGGTTGATCCGGAAGCCGCACGACAAGACGGAGGACGAGGCACAGAAGACCACCAAGACGTCGAGCACCACGATCGACACCCAGGATGGCTGTGGATGGGTCCATGAGCGCCACGGTGAGGAGGACCAATATCGTACGACAGCAGGAGGATTGGGATTTGGAGGAGAGGATTATACGAAGGTCACTGTTCACCAAGGTGAGACACCGACGATGTGTCTCCATCCCTTCCTTACCAATGCACCTCTGGTGCATGTTTTGATGATGTCTGTGCTGATTGAATGCAGACTATGGACGGGGGAGGCAAGGGAGAACCGACAGAGGCGCGGCATTTCCATCTGACAAGGGTAAGTGCGTGAGACAGCTGAGACAGCGTGTCTCCATCCCTCCCCCCTCCCCCTACACGCCTCACTTATCTCTTGGGCGTGTTGGCTGGCTGCAGAGGTGACGGCCCGTCTAACAATGCAGGCGAGCGGATTCCTCGACCAAAACGACATGGATTCAGAGGCCTCCGCTGCCACCAAGGGCTGCCGCAGGTGGACGTTCCCAGCCGCTTACACCGAAGGCCGCCATTGTCCCCAGCACATGACATTCAAGCGCCGCTGATTGAGGAGGACTGACTGGGAGTCGTGCAAGAAGTGCATCGATCGCATCCATGAGTGGCTGGCAGACTGTGTGGTGGGTGAAGTGAAGTGGTGAGTGCAACGTGTGCATGGCTGCCTGCCTGCCTGCCTGCCTGTGAGCAACGTGATCAAATCCTATCGGCGTGTCGCCATATACCAGAGAAAGACCAGTCGGACTCGAAAGAGAACAATCGTGTCTACTGACTGACACCTCTATGTCCAGCTATCGACAATAATTGTGTCAGCACACACAAGAAGCTCGACAGTGTGATCTGAGAGTCAGTCATGATGCAGTCATCGATATTGCGCCTCGAAAGTCGACAGCTTCCCCATAACCATGAAGCCCGTCTCTACGTCTCCTGTCTCAATGAGGGTGGTCCGATGATAGGCAAAGAGCCCCCAGTGAGTATCCGCTGGTAGGTATCTCACTTGCCCTCTCCCTCCCCGGTCACAACCACGGTGAAGTCCTCCCCCAGCACCACATCAGTCACCTGACACACATAACAGCCAACTAACATATCGACACATATGTGTGTAGTGGATCCATTTCCATATCTCCTGCACCTTTCGGTGGAGCAGCGAAAAGACCAACCGAGGCTGAAAATCGCACGTAGCACAGTTGTACGGGCAGAGGCGACGCAGCCGGTATGTAAGCAAGATAGCCAGCTGACCTTGACGGAGCATTCTTTCAGCCCCGACCGCACAGAGACACCTGCAGGCACGTACACACCATTCTCTCATGGATCCGTCAAACGACCGGCCGATTCACCCGCCCACCGGGTGTCATTGACGGCGGCGGCACGGCTGCCGGGGTGGCTGTGTAGATCAGCTTGTGGTGAGACGCATGGCCCCACACCAGCAACCGATGGTCCTCTGCGCCCACACGGAGGACCTTTCTGTGTGTCTCTTTCTTGGTTGGTATCATGCGCCTACGAGTGATGCATGCCGAGTGTCTGCCCCCCGCGGCTACACGGAGCCCCTTGGCCTCCCAGCTGCTCACGGAAGGGGACGCCACACACTGACAGACACCACACAGAGAGGCACAGGAAGCTGAATGTCCCAGCAGACAGGCAGACTCGCTTACCTTCGGCTGAGTGAGCTGCAGCTCGGCGACATTGACGCCGCACTGGCCAGCAGTGTTGTCGCCCATCGCCCACACCCTGCACACACACGATCACAGGTGAATCAATGACGGCCTGAGGGAATGCGACAGGTACCGGCCGTCATGTCCCAGCATGAGTGCGTGTCTCCCTCCCGCAGCGATGGAGTCCATCTTGCCCGCCCCGCTCGGCAGATGCACCAGCGCCGCAGACAACACCGATCCTGAGTCTGCACACACCGACACAGCTGAAGCGGAATGCCCGTCAGCCTGCCATCCATGTGTGGCTATGTACCGTTTCCGTCTTGCACCGATTGGAAAAGGGATGTGGCTGTCTGTTGGACCTCACTTGGCCGGCCAAGCTCGCCGTAACTGCCGTCGCCCCAGGAGAAGACCTCACCACGGCCTGAGTGAGTGGTGACACCGATACCCCACTCACCATCCATCCATCCATCCATCTTCACAGGCTCTGTGTCTGTCTCTCTTTCTCCCACCCGTCCTGACAAGGCCAAAGTGCCGTCCCAGAGCGATCTCCTCAAGACGATTCCCCATGCCCGCCTGGAACATCAGCAACGGTCTCGGTGTGGCCTCCCACACCCCCATGGGCAGCTCCCCCCAGCCATACACCCATTCCAGCGTCCCGAATGCCGACGACGTGATGGCGACACTCTGGCGGCCACAAGCGGCGATTCGTTTCATTCCGGGCGAGTGCTCGGTCAGCTGCGACCGGGACCGCTCGTCGATTCTCTCGTTGTTTGTGTCGTTTGCGGCGTCGTTTGCGGGGTCTTCCGGGGGCGGGGCGAAGTCCAGCAGAGTGGGGGTTGCTCGTGGGAGACCGTCGCTGAAGCCAACGGCGTCACCACACCCCCATGTGAAGACCTCCCCCTGACCATTCATTCGTGAGGGAGGGATGGGTGTATGTATGTCGGTGTGTGTGTGTCTGTCTGTCTGTGTCTCTCTCGCCCACTTGGTCGGAAAGGGCGATTGAGTGCGCGTCTCCAGCGGCGATTTGCTGGATGACGGGGAGCCGCTGCAGTGGCCGGAGCGTGTGTGCGAAGGGGAGGGTGGTGCCAAGACCCAGCTGCCCGTAGAAATTATACCCAAACACATACACCTTCCCCACATCTACACACACACACACACACACACACACACATACACACACACAGCCCCATTCGTGGAGCATTTCTCCCACGCACCTGTGAGGAACAGCAGGTGAGAGGTCCCAGTGGCCACCTGCTTGACTCGGTGGTGGGCCAGGCCCTCGATCACCAGAGGCCGAAGCGAAGAGGCCGCGGGGCTTGGGAGGGGGAGGTCGGGGTGCGTGGCGGTGCTGCCTTCCATCTCCTCCAGCCGGTTGGCCTCCACACTCAGCGGATGCGGGCAACTCGGCCATTCTGCAGCCATGTACACGATGTGTGTCGCTCTTTCTTTGGCCTGCGCAGGTCCGTGTGTAATGTGTGGCTGCTCACTGCCCCATATCGCGATGAGGGTCTTGTTGTCTTTGTAGCCGGGAGAGGAAAACACTGCACAGTCAGACACACATGAAAACACAAGTGCATCCACCGATTGACTGCGAGGGTGTCTGTCCAACAGTGTCTCCCTGTCTCTCTCGTGTGCGGGCGTCTTACGGTGATCAGTCGACAGCACCGGCTCCCCCTCAGACACACCCTGCACCACACACACAAACACACACACATACCGACACTCACCGAGACGCCCCTCATGGAATAACCGGCCATGAGTCACCTCAACTCACCTGCTTCGCATTGAGCTTCGCACTGGCACCCGGACACCGCACACAGCGCATCTTTTGGGGTTTCTCCTTCTCAAAGAACGATCCGTATGCGAGCTTAGCTTTCAAAGTTCTTCTGTGACGAATGTTAAAAAGCTGCTCGTCACAGTTAAATGGCATCCCCATTGTACGCGCTGCTCGTCATATCTCTCGCTGCAGTCGTCTTTTTACCCTGCCAGATCTCGGCACAAGACGCACACGAGGTCTTCTCGTTGCCGGCAGTGGCTGGCACAGAGGAACATGACCACAGCGACCATGATACACACGGCGACCACGATCACGCGGCGCACCCAGAGAGGGGAGGAGTGGCCGCAGTGTCTGCAGGGGAGGCGGACGCTGAGCTGGCAGAAGATTGGGAGACCTTCCCTATCGAATACAGGTGGCTGGCCGCCATCGTCACCGGTGGGCGAAAGGCAGGCAGTGGACATCTCGGCCAGTCCTTTGCACTGTTCTTGTTGCGCTGCATTCTGCTATGTTAAGGTGTGATCTTGTCGGTCAACAGTCTGGTCGGTGTGTTCGTGCTGCAGTGTCTGGGAAAGGGCGCTGTTGGAAAGGGCCTCCAATACGCCCTCGTCGTCTTATCCATCGCTGTCATGGTGGTGAGCCAACCCCACCCCCACCCCGACGCGCACACACACCATTGATAACGCTAAGTGGTGACGGTCTGTCTGTCTGTCTGCCTGTGTGCGTTGGGCGTGTCCTCCAGAGCGATTCCCTGATCCATCTGTACCCCCATGCACTCGAGGGCGCCTCCCACGACGCCGTCACCAAGCTGGGCATCACCGCCTTCGCCGGCTGCCTGGCCGTCGTCCTCTTCTCGCAGCTGCTGCAAAGCATCCATGGCGGCCACCACCACGACCACGACCACCACCACCACCCCAACCCTCAGCCCCCCTCTCGCCGCATCCCTGCCGAGCGCACGTCGGCCACGGTGGCTGACGATGCCGAGAAGACCCCGTCACGTGAGGGGGAGAAGATTGAGGAGGGGAGGGCAGGGGAGAACGGCGACGACAGTGCAGAGGCGAAAGCAGGCGAGGTGGCGGTGGCGGAGAGCGGCGTCAAGAAGGCGAAAGTTCGCTTTGACTGGCGGTCGGTGGAGTCGTACGGCTGGGCGGCGCTGGCAGGAGATGTGGTCTGCAATTTTGTCGATGGAATCACTGTCGGTGAGGAGGAGGAGGGAGCAGGCTTGTGATTTGTCAATCGCTGCATCTGTCTATGTCTGTCAGGGATAGCGTGGTACGTGGGGTGGTTTGTCGGCGTGGTGACCTCGATCGCCATCCTGGCTCACGAAATCCCACAGGTACACACACTCACACCGTGTGGCCAACCAGGAAGAACGAACCCTTCATGTCTTCAGGAGCTCAGTGACTACGCCGTGCTACGTCTCAGTGGCCTGAGCAACTGCCTGGTCATCACCGTCAACATCGCCGCCTCCGTCACGTCTCTCGTCGGCATCGTCGTGGGCCTCGGCTTCTCCACCATGCTCGCATCCGTGGTGCAGGATTTCGAGCGCTACTGCCTGGCCTTCACCTGTGGCGCCTGGCTGTCCATCGGGCTGCTGGTACTGGGACCTATCGCACTGAAGCTTCACACCGAGATGACTGGCAAGGGGGCTGAGGGGCAGCCTGCGGTAATGGGGCAGTGGGTGGCCATCCTGGTGGCTGTGGTGATGATGGCCGTTGCACTCGGTGAGGGAGTCATCCGACAAGGCACCGCACACACAGAGAGAGCGAGGGAGGGAGAGGGATGTGTGTGTGATGTGGGTTCGTCTGTGTGTGCAGGCATCATGGTTGGGATTGGTGTCTTGGAGGGGATGACGCACGAGCACGAGCACTCTGGGGCGGCGCATGAGGAGGGCCATGAAGGCCACAACCACTGACACTTGCTGCAACGCAATGAGAGCAGCCTGCTTGCCGGCCTGCCTGCTTGCCTGCCTGCCTGCCTGCCTGCCTGAAGTCGTGCATGTGTGTGTAGGTGTCCGTGTCCATGTGAGCCGGGGGCGAGGCCCATTGATTCCTTCTTTGTGGTTGGTTAAGTTGCACGTGTGTGTGTGTGTGTGTGTGTGTTACCCGTCCATCCTGGGGAGCGTGGGCGGCCTTCATGCTGTGTGCTTGCCTGCCAACCCTCGGGGCGGATGGCGTATGTCGACGTTCGTCCATGCGACCGATGCTCTCGCGCCGACCACCCCTCTGCCGTGTGTGGATGCTCGACTCATCGGTGCGTACAATCGTGCCAGTCGTGTGGCTTTCGTTTCTTTCTCCTCCCCTGTCTGTCTGTCTGTCTGTCCGTCTGCCACCGTGTGTGTGCCTCTGCGCTCTGCTGTCTTTCAGAGAGAGAGAGGCACACACACGGTGGCAGACAGACAAACAGACAGAGATAGACTGAATACAAATCTCTCAGTCTGTCTGTCTGTCTGCTGGTTTGTGGTCGGTCAAGTGCTGCTGCACAGGGGCGTGTGGTGCGCATACCCCTCACTGACTCGCCAGCTCACTGCACGGCACGGCATGGCATTTTCATGTTCCTGCCGGCCTGCCGTGCCTACTTTTTCCGATGGGTGGATGTGGTGTGTGAGACGGCTGCTTGTATCAGTGTGGGCGGCTATAGGTCACACACACACACACACACGCACACGCACACACACACACACACACACAGGCGAGCAGGCACCAAAGGGGAGGGACGCGGTGTTTCATTCCTGTGCAGAGCCTGTGTGTAGATAGTGTGTGCCATATGTCGATATCAACCCACAGCTATGTGTGTGTCCACCCCGAGCTGCATGTGTGTGTGGATGTAGTGAGCTTGCTGTGTGTGGCCGTGTCTGTCTGTCTCGATGGGACGCCGTCTGTGTGCGTGCAAGCGTGTCTGTCTTTCTGTGTGTGTCTGCCGGCCTGCCTAGCCTAGCTACCCTCTGTCTGTCTCTGTCTGGTTTTTGAGGGGAGTGCTGGTCGATACCGCCCGTCGGTGTGATGTACATCACCACTGAGTGCACCCATGGGCGGACGGCTGGCTGGTTGTCATATCAGTGACAGGCAGAGGCAGGCGGGCACGTGAGAGCTAGCCTTGTTTGCCCATCAAGCAATCAAGTCGCGAAGAGAAATCACACTTATTGCCTTTCTCACCACCCACCATGAGACACGACAGTGTCGACGAGCCTCGGGGTCGATGTAAACTGCCCCAGTGGAGACGTGGTGGAAATTCGGGGTTAGCTCTCTGTCGTCTCTCTCTTTGTCAGCTGTTTAGCCGTTGGTCGAGTCAGGACGTTAAACATACACACAGACACGGACACGCACAGGCACAGGCATAAACGCGTCTTCCATGCGTCGATGAAAGTGGACGTGGATAAAGTTGCTGTCATGTCACTCAGTGAGTACTAGGTCTGCACACCAGATTGGGTGCTGGCAGGGTTGGTGGGCAGGTCGGGTGGGTGGGAGACGGCAGGCAGGCAGGCAGGCAGGCAGGCAGGGAGCGCAGCAGCACTCCACACACGTGTGCATAAAAGCACGTCCACACACACACACACACACGGGGTGGGGTGTATTGGGTTGGAGAGCCAGAAATCATCCACAAGGTAGGTAGGCACTGCATAGAATAGCATGGGAACCCCCCATCCATCCATCCATCCACCCACCTCCCCACCGGCCCGTCGTGCCTGTCTGTACGTGAGCGTATGTATGCGTCCGCCACAGATCAACGCATATCCATCGACCTCCACTCCTTCCCCTCCCAACCGCCTCACTCACTCACGTCACCCCCGCCTATAGTCTTACACCCACAGGTCGGACACACATCATGGTGCACACACACATGCACACACCATGCACACACACACCCATAAAGGAGACCGTACACCGACGCGCTGGCACGCACAGACAGACAGACACACATAAATTGGCGCCAGCCACACCGCACACACGAAGAGGTATGCTCGGATGACAGACAGACAGACAGGCAGACAGACTTACAAGACAACACACGAGGAAAAAGGCGCCGTACACACATCATGACGGGAGTGGGAGTGGGGAGGAGCCGCGGGGGGGGGGAAGACAGGGGGTCTGTGTGGGGGTGAAAAAATACGCCAGCGATCGATCAGCCAGCCAGGCAGGGTGCGGTGTGCCACACACCCATTCATCCAGCTCGAGAGGCCGGCCTTGGCAGTCATGTGTGTGTCGCACGTTGCTCTGGTAGCTGACCTGCGTGCCATGCCCACTTCTGCCCATGAGAGAGGCTGAAATGGCCATGGCACACACTGCAGCCACGAGAGCACAGGAGCCGACTGACACCGACATGCGCCGGATTCAGGAAAAATGCGATGGAGCCCTTTACAAAGAGAGAGGCGGGGCGGGGGTAGGGAGCTGATCAGTCAGCAGTCTTGCCCCGCTCGTCGATGAATCAAGGCAGCCACTAAACCAGAAGACCCCCCATGCATCCATCCATCCATTCGTCAGTACGCGTACTTCCTCTACAGCACACGCAAATAAATCGGTCGTTCATCGCTCCCTCCCTCCCTCACTCACTCACTCACTGAGTCATGGATCCCTCGGCTTCACTCCACACATACATACATCACACATCCTTTCCAAAAACGACACGGAGAGAAAGACAGAGAGAGAGAGAGACAGACAGAGGGAGAGAGAGATAAAGGAGTCCCTTCACAAAACAACTCAGCTCGACTCGACTCGACTCCCGCCAGGACATATGGAATGGCATGTACGGCACGGCACCCGCAGCAACACAAGCAGCCCAACACAACCCACCACAACAGAACAATCATCCAGCCAACCGCGCCGCCCGCCCACCCACGCGCACGCTGCAAAAAACCCGCCCATTCCATCTCACCCACCTTGATCACCCGACGGTGACGCCCGCTTCCCAGCCATGCCAGTCCCTCTCCCTCTCCCCCTTCTCCCCTGGACTCGGCGCGGTCGATATCGATCGGGCTGACGCGTTCGAGTCGCCCGCTGCTGACCGCGCAGAGGGCTTCTTGTTCCGCGGCGATGTGGATGTGTGTGAGGTGGCGGTGTGCCCTTGGATGGTCATCATCTCGGGTGGGACGGGTGCCAGGCCGCTCGACTGGGTGGAGGGGAGCTTGCGTGGCCGGCCCTGGTCGACCTCGGGGGCCCGACGCATCATCTGCACAAACTCTTCAAAATCGATCTGGCAACAGAGAGGGAGAGAGAGGGAGGAGCGATGGATGGTGGTGTTTTTGGTATGTATGTTGTCTCCCAGCCAGCGTACCTCTCCGTCTCCATTCTTGTCGACGTCCCTGATGATGGCGTCGACCGTCGCGCCGATCTCGTCCTTCATGTCGGGCGACCCCAGCGCCTTCTTGAGCTCTAGCGGACTGATCTTGCCGTCACCATCCTGGTGGAACGAGGAAGAAAAATGATGCGTAGGGGATGGGTGTGTGTGTGTGCGTGGGTGTGTTACCAGGTCAAAGACACGGAAGGCCGCCCAGCAGACGTCCTCGGAGAGGTACTTGGTCTTGTCGATGGTGGCTGCGATGAACTCTGACACATCGATGAAGAGAGAACATACAACACAAACAGGGATTGCTACTGGTCAGTCAGTCGGTCGATCCAGCCTTTGCGTCAGTGGCGGAGCTGACCAGTGTAGTCGATTTGCCCAGATCTGTCCGAGTCGACCTCGTTGAAGACCTCCTCGAGATCGGGAGGAAACTCCTCCCAACCCATTGCCCGCATGCCCTCAACGATCTCCTGCAGGGCAGGTGCCATATGTCACACACACATGTCATGGTGGCGGTGTGTGTGGTGGTCTGTCTCTGGGATAACTGACATACGTCGTAGGTGAGAGTGCCGGAGTTGTCCTTGTCGAGTGCGATGAATATGTTCTTGAGCTCCACGATGTCCTGCTCTGACAGGTGGTGGGCTATCACCGTCAGGGCCGCCTTCTTCAGACGATGTTGAGCGCGGAATTGCTGCACAGACAGACAAAAAAGAGGCGAGAATGCCTGGTGGTGTGTTGTGGTGCACTTGTGGTTACCCTGAGGTTGTTGATGATGCCCTCTGTGAGGGTGACTTCGTATCTCGAGTCCATCACAGTCGACTGCACTATCCACGGGTGCTGCAACGCCTGGGCGGCCGTGTGCCGATCCTGACCACACACAACACACACGATTGGATGTGTGTCGAATCTGTGTGAGTGTGTGTAAGACACCTCACCCGTGGGTTGAGTGCGAGAAGTTTCCTGATGATGTCTTTGGCCTCATCGCTGACGTGTCGCCAGTCCTGTGGGTGGAAAGAGTACTTGCCCAGCTTCACCTTGGCCAGCACCTCGGCGTCCGTCTCGCCCGAGAAGGGCGGGTACCCGCACAGCAACACGTACATGATGACCCCACACGACCACATGTCCGCCGCCTCAGTGTAGTGACCCAACAGCACCTGCGGAGCCACGTAATACGGCTGCACAGGTCACACCATAGAGAGAACCCCATAGACACAGAGGGAGATGGACGTGTGTGTGTGTCTTTGTGTGTGGTCCACCGTACCTACCGTGCCGGCTTTGGTGCCTCGCGCCTGTCCGTGTTCGAACTTGCACGAGAGGCCGAAGTCGATGACCTTCAGAGGGCTGTCGGGCTCCTTGCTCATGAACAGAAAATTCTCGGGCTTCAAGTCTCTGTGTGGGTGTCAACATTGGTCGAAGGGTTTGCACGGTTCACGTCTGCTTGGTCAGGGAGGGGAGAGGGTGGGGTGTACCTCCTACCCTACCTGTGCATGATGCCGTTCGCATGGCAGTAGGCGAGCGCCGAGAGGATCTGCTTCATGATCCGCGCCGCGTCCCTCTCGGTGAACTTCTCCTGCTCGATGATGCGATCAAACAACTCACCACCCGTACACAGCCTGGACGAACAGACAAACGAAGCAGACAAGACACACCGACGCGTGAAGGGATGCCGCAGCCGCCCTCCCCTTCCAGCCCCTGTGTGTGCCTGTGTGGGCGTGTGTGTGGTGTTGCCTCACTCCATGACGATGTAGATGTTTCGGGCATCCTCGAAGGTCTCGTACAGCTTGATGATGTTCGGATGATCCTGTAAACAGACGCAGACAGCCAGCCAGCCAGCCAGCCAGACAGACAGATGGTCTCTCCCTCACACGCACCCCCTCTTTCCCTGTGTGCCTGCCGGTATCCACCGCCACCGCGACCGCCACCGCCCCATGCAGCTCACCAGCGACTTCATGATATCGATCTCCGTCCTAAATCTGGCGAGGTTCTTGACGTGGCTCTTGGACACCGCCTTGATCGCCCGCACTTGACCCGTCGTCCGCGACGTCGCCTTGCACACCGACCCATATGTGCCCCTCCCCACCTTCTTGTGAAGGATAAACGAGTCCGTCAGGGTGCCAGAGTGGGACAGGATGAAGTTCTCCCGGTTGAGGGCGTCCTTCTTGGACTCATCTGAAGCCGTGGAAGGCCGCCTGGTGGATACGTCCGACGGCGCATCGACACACCGCTTGGCGGGCACTCCGTTGGTCTTGGCCTGCCTCCCTCGTGCCCTGGAGGTCTCGCGCTTTGGCTGATCTGAGCGGACGTCGTCGAACGAATCCTTTTGGTCTCTCTGAGTGATGCACACGCCCAACTTTCCACCCATTTGCTAGATGTCGGCGGGGAGTGGGATGGCCGCGCCTTGCTCTCGGTCAGCACTGCACTTTCCTCTCCGAAACCGCTCTTTCTCCTCTCCCTCAAAAGCTAAGCTCGCAACTGCGAGCTCGCAAACGACTTCGCAAGAGATGATGATGAAAGACTCCACAAGCGTGTGCATCGTCTTGCTGTCCATCTTCGTCTGCTGCGTCGACATCGTCAGCTGTTTTCTCGCGAGGAGCCCTCTCCCATCGTCCTTGCGCCGGCAAGTGCGGCTGCGCAGTCGGAGGGCATTGGATCTGAGGATGGGACCGGTTTACGACGCGATAGAGAGGAAGCTGACAGAGGAGCTCAGCCCGACCAGCCTTGAGATAGTCGATGAGTCTGCCGGGCATGCCGACCACCTGGGTGAGCGGAGAATCAGCGGCAGTGGACGCTGCTTGCCTCTCCTTCGTCTGTGTGTCCTCGTGTGTGTGTGTGTGTGTGTGTGTGTGTGTGCAGGGATGCAGGAGGAGCCGCACAAGTTTGCCGGCGGCGAGACGCACTTCAGGATAGACGTCACGAGCGAGATGTTCGAGGGCCTCAGTCGCGTGAAGCGTCACCAGCTGGTCTACAAGATCCTGGATGAGGAGATCAAGAACGCCATACACGCAATCAGCATCAACGCACAAGCGCCCGAGTGATGTCGTGTCGATGCCGCTGTTCACTGACTCAGGGTGGAGTTTTTGTGCGTCGGGAGATGTATGAGCATCTAAAAGCTTTCACACGGGAACGAACATCACGGACACCCAGGCAAGGGAAACTACCACCACCCCCGAGTGCTCCCGGTGGGTTTGTTGTCTTCGCCTGTGGGGTACGGCTTGTTCGTTCGTGTGTGCCTTTGCAAGAGAGCTGTGTGTGGACGGATGAGAGAGGCGAGTTTTGACTGCGTCTTGCCTGCAACCTTGCTGCCGGTGGACACACAGATCTCGGGGGGGACTGTGGATAGCTAGGGCGACGGGGTCGCCAGAATGACACACACGTCCACAGCTGACAGGACGACTGCACGACTTAATTGTGTACACGGACATCAGATCATCAACACCGGATACATCAACACGATGTTCGGCGATCAGACAAGCCAAGACCGGAAAGTGTAAACACGGGTGGCGAGGATCCCACGGTTGTCTTATAGATAAGCCAAACGATGAGCTTTTTGCCGGCAGATCAGCAGGTGCCCCGCGAGAAGGGCAGGCTGGCGATGAAGGACTACGAGCGGCGCCTCAAGGTAACCACGATGGATGGATGCGTGACGCGACAACCACCGGCCAAATGCTCTTGTTCCGCAGGAGGTGTTAGCTGAGGTCAAGGTCAAGAATGGGCGACGGCCGTCGGAGCCCGCCGTCATCTCGTTGCGGGGCATCTGGGATCCGATAGAGTTTGTGCATCTGGCAGGGGGGCTGTACAAGGAGGACAAGTATGCGTTTGAGGAGAGGAAGGCCAAAATAGTCTACCCCTACCCATCGATGTGAGATCATGTGGTGGTCGAGAGAGAGAGGATTAAGAATGCTGTGCCTCGCATCGCAGGATCATTACCAACGTCCCCCTGTCGGAGCGCACCCTCAGAGACCTCAGAGGCCGTGAGAGAGGGAGGCCGGGGGAGGGGGGAGGGAGATATTGCGACCCGGGTGTGTGTGTTGTTTTGTAGGTTGGCAGGACTACGAGCAGTGCAACCAGGGTGAGGAGGGCATAATTTTGGGTGAGTGCGGCGAGAACCAATCCCTGGCGCTCGCCATCAAGGCGAAAGATCCGGTGGGCGACGAGACGCACAATGAGGGGGGGAGGGGGGCGGGGTGTCCATGTCTGTCGCCGTGTGTCCGACTGTGTGATTCATGTGTCAGGCTAAGGGCATCACGTTTGGCGAGATCATGGCTGAGATGCAGGCCTACGAACACGGCCACATGTGCGGATTCGACACAGACGCACGGGAGTAGGCATCCAGCCCGACCAAACATGCAGAACGATGGGCATCCGTCCGTTTGTCCTTGGTGCGTGTCAGGTCGGTGTCATGTGCCCGCCGGGAGTTCTGTGGGCGATACCGACTCGAGTACACGCGTGACTACGTCTACTACGGCTCATTCGATCTGCTGGATTAGCCGGGGAGGGGCGACAAGCTAGGCTAGTGCATCGATAGTGGATATGCGGCTACATAGGGGGTTTTCTTGAGGCTGTCGGCGGGTGCGCGTTAAGTGGATACATACCATCAGAAGACATACATCGGCTGTGGTGTCTGTCCATGGACACACAAAAACACACACTTGTGGCACGTATGGGATGAATGTGCGTATGTATGTATGTTGGCGGCCTTCATAAAATGACATACGAATGGGTTTCCCTCTCTCTCTGTCGCGTTGGGCATGTACCTATATCGGATAAATGACTGAGTGAAAAATAATCCACGTGCGGGAAGGAGAGCAAACACGACGCACACAGAGAATGCACACCCACTCATACGCACAGAACACCTTGAACCTCTTCCACAAAGACACCGAAACATGACGCTGGCAAAAAACGCGTGTGTCTCTCTCCCTCAGTCACTGTGCCTCCCGATCAGATGGCCTCCGCTTGTCCAGCTCTGTCGTCGACGCCGCTCGATGCACACCCCTGCGCCCACCATGATCATCCCCCTGCTGGCCGTTCCGCTGCTGCAAACTTGGTTCCGACTCGATCATCTCATTATCGCTCTGGAACCTTTCCACACTCTCGATGGTGTCTTGTGGCGTCAGCCCGCCGTGCAAGACACCATGCTGTGGCGGCACCATGAATGGCTGTAGGGGTGTGTGGGCTAAGACAGGCATCATGTGGCGAGAGACACCAGATGGGGAGGGGGAGGCGACCGACGCCCGCCGGTAATGCTGGTAGGGGAGGGATGCGTGTGTGAGGGCGGGGTATGGGTACTGGCCGGCATGGGGAAAGAACCCCGGGATAGGAGAGGCCGACATGGGGAAACAGCTTCCCATCGGCACGTTGCTGCATATCCCTGATGGCATCTGCGCAGACAGACAAGGAGCCAGGCACGAGCTCAGTTACATTGTCCATGGTGGCTGCATGTGTGCATGGAGAGGGAGAAAGAGAGACATGTACATTTACCTGTGTGAGTGAACTGGCGGCCATCATCGCGGCTTGTACAGCCATTTCACTCGGCTCACACGGCTCGTACAGCGATTGGGACCTCCGCACTTGATGACGCCGGACTACCATCGGCGAGGGCGGCCCATCGGACGTCCGGGGATAGCTCGCTCTCCTCGCCCGTCCGTCGAAGGGACGTCTCATCAGCTGCAGCTTGGCCTTGACGCGTGCTGGGGACCAGTGGCCGGTGCTGGCTGTGCTGGGTGCCCGCCTGGAGTCTTTCGATGCCCGCGATCGCTGGGACACTCCGCTGTTGGAGGTGCGGAACAGGAAGGAGCCAGATTGGCCTTTGGATCGGGGCCGAGCCTCGCCATGAGACGGTTCTGAGCAGAGAAGAAAGAGCTGGATCCTTCAAGGGCTTTCCCTATCTTCAATTCATCATATGCGGTAAAAGATATATACCTGTGACGGTTTGCCGGTTGTTTCTGAGGTCATCGATCGACCCGCTGACCTCTCCCTCTTCCTTGTCCATGCGATACTCCTTCTCTCTTCCTTTCCTCTCGCCATGGCGCGTCCTTGCCTTGCTCCGATGGGACTTGTCGGCGAGCAGGTCAGACGAGGACGCACTCTTCCGTCTCGCGAAGGTTGCTGGGCGTGATGTCAGTGGCGACCCCTTCTCTGAAATGGTGTCGAGGGAAACTTCATTCTCGTCGATCCTGCACATGACGGCCGAGGAGCCGCCCTGGCCGGACATGCTGAAACGTGAGGGCGGACTGTGGTTGATTGGTGTCGGATTAGCCGTGGTGCTGTCCTCGTTGCTCTGCTGCTCCATCGGCGCGTCCTTGTCGCAAGCTTCGTGTTCCATCTGGTCGAGCCCCTCGGTTGAAAAAGAGACGGGGAACTCTCGCGTCTTCTTTCTGCTGCTCTTGTTTCCCCACAGACACGGGCAGCACCGCCTCATACACGATCGATGGACGCTGAAGAGGCTTCTCTTGGTCTTGCAGTGGTTGTGGGGCAGGAAAGAGCTCACTCGGTATGGGCAGTCCTCCGTCCGATGTCGCGCTGGCCCGCAGTAAGAACATCGGACTTCTAGGGAACGGTAATCGCCTACCCGCACCTGAAAGAGGAAGGAGGAGAGAGAGACACGATGGAGCTTGTGAGTCAGTCAACCTATATATACCTGTTCGGCGATTGTGACGTATTTCCTCTGCAACTTTGGGAACATCATGACGACAGACAGCAGGTCGCCGCGCTCGATCTCAACCAGGTCACAGAAGGTCGCGCACTTGAGCGTCACCCGCATCACCTGTCCATAATGGACCCATCAATCAATCGCACACAATGCCGTGCCTGCCGACCCACACCGGGCCACACGCATCCGTACGTACATGATCTTCAAAGAGGCTCTTGGCGCCGAAGAACGATGGCGAGCACAGCGCATCGTCACAGTCGTACTCGCCATCTTCCCCCTCTTGCGCGTTGTTGCGGCTGGTGGCGATCATGCGGCCCTTTGTGAGGAAGAACATCGACCGACTGATGACGCCCTCGTTGAGAAGCACGTCACCCCGCGCCATGATGCGGCACTTGCAGATGCGGCACAGCTGCGTCATGACCTGTCGCTTCACACTCTCGAATAAAGGAAAGGCGCGCAGAGTAGTGTGGTATACATCATACGCCTGCAGACACAGATGCAATCACAGGGTGCCTCATGGGATCGTGCTGCGGATCACTTGGCGTCACCACTTCGTTCTTGAGTGAGTCCGTCAGCAGGCATGACAGCGCCCCCTCCATCTGTGTTGTCTGTTCGCTCTCGAACTTGTAGGCCAGAAATCGCTTGATGCGCGACTGGAGCTCATAAGGCACGCGGCGGAGACGCAGATACCTTCATCGCAAAGCAGAGTAGCCAGTCACACTCACGCACTCATTTTTGCCCGACGGACTGACCTGGTGATAAGATCGACCTGCTTGCTGTACTGAGCCCTTTCCTCTCCAAATTTGGAGGCCACTGAGGCGATGGATGACACCAGGTAGGCGAACACCACCGACGCCAGCAGCACCGTCACAATCACTCACAGCCGTTCGTTGCGCGTCTGCGGCACAAAGTCGCCATAACCGACCGTCGAGAGCGTCGTAAGCGACCAGTAAAGCGCTGCAACGTACCTGGCGATCCAAAGGAGAGAGCGAGGTATAAACGAAAATGAGTAGGCAGGACTCGCCTACTGGCTGAAGAGGTTTGCCGCGTCGAGTTCATAGTACTCGACCCAGGTGAGGTCTCCAGAGCCGAGGGTCCCGTCTTGCAGTTCGCGGCCCAGGTCGGCTGCCGTCACCGCACGCTGCGTGCCTACCTGTGCACACACAGGGCACCCACCCACGTGCGACTATAAAGCGCGTTCGTGTCCAGTGGACACACGTGTGCTGACCATATAGAAGATGCAGGCGTTCCAGTGGGCTACCACTATCATCAAGAAGGCTATCTCGAAACTCTCCACCACCAGAGGGAAAAACTGATGGCAGAATAGAAGGAGGCACATGCGTACGTACAACAGGTGGGTGGAATGTTGGACGGCTGACTTTGAAGTCGACGAAGGTGGTATCAAAGAGGAAATCCTGCAGGCGGTTGACGATGTTTCGGAACTTCAGGATCCGCAGCAAGCGAGAGAACTTAACAGCCGCATCAGCCTCAGCAGCTTGGGGGAGGCGGCCGCCTCACTGTGGGAGAGCAGCTCCCAGGGAATGGTCGCCACCAGATCTGACAAGCAACCAAGAATAAGAGCAAAGACTGGTTTCCCTTTCTGACCGGTATGTTGGCCGGAATGGTGACTGACCGATGATGAACCAGGTTTTGAGATAATGCCTGGCGATCTGGCGCGGGTCGATGACCAACGCCTGCTCATAGTTGTAATACGCTGTACCAAGGGGGAAGGGAGACATGGAGGGAGGGATGACGTCAGTAGGGAGGAAGGGAGTGTCTCTCTACAGCACCTGTTACGAAGTTGAGGCAGATGTCCACAACCCACAAGACGTCAAAACAGTGGTGCAATATAAGAAACACGTAAGCGTATCGGGTGCCGTCAATGCCGAACGCCAAATCTGACAAACAGAGGGCAGAGGGGATGGAGATGCATCCACAGGACGTGAGACATTTATACAGACAGACACGGAGACGCATTCCTCACCGAATGGAATGAATATAGTCTGGTAGAAAATCACAAGGAGGCAGCAGATGTCCCACGGCATGCGCTTCTCCGGCACCAGAATCAGCGGGGGCAGCGCACGCTTCCTCTCATCGTCATCAGCCGCCAACGCAGTGGTGAGCCGCCCGCCAGACTGACTGTATCTCAGCCGCAGGTCGGAGAAGAGACGCGAAGGACTTTTCGTCTTCTTTTCATTATCCTGGTCTGTGGCAGGGCCGCTCGTGTCCCCTTTCTCGGCCCTCTGACCTGCCGGGTGGTTGCCCTCATCGCTAGAGCCCTCATCGCCGCTCGACTCCTCTATGTTGAAGGTGAGCCGACGCTTCTCGCTAGAGAGCTTGTGTGTGGGCATCGGCTGCAGCGTCATGCCGTGGTAGCCGACGGGGGGCGTCATGGTGCCGATGGAGAGGGTGCTTCCGCTGCCGAAGGCCATGCTGGTGTAGGCGGCCTGCTGGTAGGGGGAGGGCGAGGCGGCGCCATATATCTCGGGGAGAGAGGCCATTGTTGCCATGGAGCCCATGGTGTGGGTGTGGCGGCCGTAAGAGTGCTTGTGGACCGCCTCTTCATTGATGTCGGAGAGCTCGGGGTGATGCAGCTGCACGTCCTCCATCATTGTGCGGGATGTGTCCCCGCTCGGTGCATTGTCGCTGATGGAGGGAGTGTGGTTGTCCGCAGCAGTGTATCGGATGAACCTGGCGTCAAGAGAGAGGACTGTCTGACGCAGCTTGGCCCCAATACAGACATCTGAGGGAACGAACAGCCATACACACACAAAGACATCCACTCTATGTGTGCCTACAACGATACACGTACACGTACCAAACCATTGAAACGGCCAGGCATGCGCCCGCATTGGCCCTCCGGCATGGCTGCCATGGGCCAGTGGAGGGAACCTCGCGCTTTCTTCCCTCTCGTCCTTGTCAGACGAAATCGAGCGGCTCACCTTCACGGCGACTTTGCACACGACGTGCAAGCCGTCCTCGTCGGATGAGGATGCGTCGAGCTCCACACGAATGTGATCAGATCCTGACCCGTCACTCGGTTTGTCCTCGCTCATCTTCAATTTGCTCAGCATATCAAGGAAGGTCGCATCGGCATCCCACTGCAGCAGGTCGGTCACTTTTCGCACCGGCGGCCGTGATGGAAGCAGGATCTCTACGCCGATGGGAACAGCATCCGCTGAGGACTTGCCATCCATGGGGGGTGCCTGCTGGGGGGGAAGAAAGAGAGCGACCGTCTAGACGGCCCGGGGGCCAGTGGGGGCACCGCGTCTCGCATGATGGGCAACTACGCGCCAGTGTCTCCTATCGACAGGGAGGCGGAGGAGCTGCTGCTGCTCCTCAATGTCGACCGCAGGGCACAGACGAAAGTGTGGAGGCTCTTCTTGCGACACGACAAAGAGTGGGCCAGAAAGCCGCATCGTGTCTGTCCATCAGGCCTTATGAGTTGTTTGAGTGTTTGTGGTTCAGTTGCAACACGTTCCTGTCTTTGATCCAAGTGTTTCGGCTGCTAGGGGAGCAGCGGAGCTCCATCGTGCACATGTTGCTGGCGGGTCTGTTCCTGTTTGCTGGTATGCATGTGTGGACGCTTGGCGATTGCATTCCATTGCATGGCTGACCATGGGTGGCGTGCGTCCTCTGTTATCTGTTTGTTGCGACACTCAGACCGCAATGGTTCTGACACCATCAGTTTTGAGGACTTTCTGGTGTCGTTCTCGTGCTACTGTGCTCTCAACAGGGAAGAACTGCTGCAGTGTGAGTGTGCGGGCCCTTGCAAAGCTGAGGCACAGACATTCGCAAAAGGGTCCATACATGTGTGTCCGTGGCCTGCCTGCACTGTACAGTTGTTTTCATGGTGATCGATGACGACCGCAATGGATACATCACAAAGGTCAGCCACGGCAGCCACGCACAGAACACCACAACGTGATATGGTTTCCTTCACTCTTCGGTGTCTGTCTGCATCGACCTAGAAAGAGTTTGATCAGTACGTGCATTTCACGGTGCTGCACCAAGAGCAGCGGCTGGCATACAAGGTGTTCGGCCGCAACGTCCATCGAGTGCCATTCCTCTTCCGCGAGGGCAAGTGGAACAGACTGTACTTCGGTCGGTGCGCCCAGCTGTCGACACACTGCAAACCCGAAGGCTGGCTGAGACATGCATTCATTCTTCTCCCTCCTGCGCCGACCACTCTCATGCAGATGAGTTTGCTCAGATGTGCGATGAGTTCCCCTATACCTGTTTTCCCGCATTCTTCCTCCAATCAAGAATAAGAAAGGTAGGGGCCGAATGAACACCAGGGATACCGACATTCGCTGTCCGTTGCTTTGCGTTCCTGTCTACGTGGTGTAGGTCTTCCTTGGTCACCGTCACTGGGCTCGTGTGGACGAGGAGCGGCGGCAGGCTTTGCAGGACAAGAGTGCCTGTCAGTGGGAGGCAGAAAGTGCCAGATTCGAACCACTCTTCGAAGGGTCGGTCGGTGGGGTGCGAGAGACATGAACGGATGGATGGATGGATGAACTGCATATATGGTATGTGTGTGTCTCGCTGTCTCAGGTCGTCATTCCCCATTCGCATGAGTCAGAGCGAGAAGCGGGACATCTGGGTAGTTCTCCCTCCATGAACCATTGGTTGTCCATGTGTGGGTCACACGGATGCAATTTGGCCATCCCTCTCTCTCTCATTTGGTTGTGCGTGTATTCAGTCTCACCTATCGCAAGTGACCATGCGAGACATTCTGGCTCTCGCCAAATCAGGTTGGTGGACAAAATTGTGTGGAGGGTTGGACAACCTGACTGACTTTTCTGCACATGTGCCTCTGTGTTTGTGTGCAGTGAAAGATCGCGAGAGCCGCGGCAAGGTCACCGAGGAGGTGGGCGCCGTCTTGTCCAAGAGCCCGCTGCTCCGCATGATCAGAAATACTAGTAAGAAGTAACCACCAGCTGCACCAGCAGACCCCCAAACACACAGCAGGCTGCGTTCGTTGTCCTTTTCAGAGTGTGCGTACTACATTCCCCTGACGTCTGTGGTGAAGGACGCCAGCCAGCGGGCCATCGACAAGCGGCCAGACCTGTCCAAGACGCAGTCGCGTGTCCTCGAGAGTGAGGCTGGCACTGAGGACACCGGACGACCGCCAGACAGGACACCACCAAAGGCCACTGGAAAGGCTGCCGCGAAGATGGGTGAGGGGAGACACCAAAAAGCGGCCAATGGATTGCCATGTCCCTTCTGTCCTCTCGTCTGTCTGTCTGTCTGTCTGTTTGCGTCCGACCAGTTGCACACGAAGGTCTTTCGCAGCTGATTCGTGCACCCAGCAGGGCCGACGCCGACCGCAGCACTACCCCTCCAGTCGGCACATTGGTACTGCCCATCGCCAGACTACGCAGCAACAGAAAGGTGGCCCCTGAGGCGTCATCCGACACCCTGGGCTCATCAGTGCAGACGGGCAAGACGCCCCCCACAGCTCCTCTGGTGGCGAAGAGCGTGAGTACGTGGCTGATGAGGCGGGAGGCGTCAGGAACCAATCCCCCGTCTAGTGGGGCGGGCGCTTCTCGAGCAGCCACGGAAGAGATGATGGTGTGATGATGATGTGTGTGTGTGTGTGTGTGCGTGTCTTGATGGCATTACTCAACACCAGACAGTGCATTCATCATTGAGAGAGTGACAGTCGGCCGCTGTACTCCAGGAAACCCCCCTGGCCCCGCCCCCTCCCTACAGCCACACATGTGTCTACAATCGACTGACTGTCTCGATCTGTACAAAGACTCTCAGCTGATTCATCCACACAACTGACTGTCCTCCCTCTATGTTCATCCCTTGTTCCTCCCCCAGAAGGCCTCCAATGACGCCTGCCCTTCACTAGTCCTCTTGCCCTTGCTGCCCTGTCCTCTTCCTCTTCTCCCGCCTCTTCTCTTGTCCCCACCCCCACCCCCACCGCCAGATGGCCGCCCCCTCGTGCTGTGTGCCGGCTTGCTTGGCTTGTCGAAATGCCCATTCACGTGAGCCTCGATCGCCGCCCTGCTGATCCGCTGGTTGCAGACAGGGCACCGCACGGAATCGCTGTCCTGGGTCGCCTCATCTCCCCCGTCATACTCGTCGGTAGCAAGGTCCACCACGTCAGCCTCAGCTGCTGCTGCTGCTGCTTCTGGGGGAGGCCTCCTTCTGTCTCGGCTATCACAGCCCTTGTCCTGTGCTGCCACACCACTCTCGCCCTTCTCTGCTGCCTTCACGCGCTTGGCGGGCATCGCCCCATCCCCCTTATCCACATGCGCCGGCCGCTTGCCGAAGAAGTCAGTGATGCGTGTCGCCTGTCTGTCGGCCAGCCCATTGTTGAAGCTCGTAGCGCCGACTACCACACGCGTCAAGTTGAGGTTGGGCAGCGCGTCGTTTGCGGCTCGGACGGATGAGGGGAAGCCGTTGGATGAGAGCAGCAGATTGAGGGCGTGGTTGCTGAATGGATCGAGGGCACGTGGCCACGTGGAAAGCTCCGATCTGGCGTGGTATCACAGACAGACAGACAGACAGACAGGCAGTCAACTAATCGGATCAGTGTCCAGACAAGCGATCGAGTGTTCCTACGGAGGGGTGTTGGGTCGCCGAGATGCCTCTTGCATGAGGGCAGGAAAGGCGGGCGGGAGATCGCCCGTCGCTGACCTGATGCCGGAGGGGAGCCCTGCGTCGTTCTGCGCATACCCTCTGCGCCACCGAACCACCATCTTGGCGGGCAGCCTGCCGTGGTGTGTCTGATGGTCCTCAATCAACCGCCGAAGCAACTCACAACTCAACTCCTCGACCCACCTACGTAAGACAGCCACACACGCGACACAGACAGTATGACATCAGTAACAAACGTCGCGTGTCCACTCACTTGCGCACAGCCGACAGCGCATTGACGGGAGGGAATGACCGCTCGGTGATGATGGTCTTGGGTGGCCCTTTTGGTGTCACGTTGTTCGCATCTTCCCCCCTCCCCAGCCCAGCCAGCCACACGCCCACCCTCTCACCGAACTTCCGCACGAGAGCCTCCTTTGGCGCGTCGCCGAGAGCAGCAAGACACGTCATGGATGGAGAGGAGGTGCTCACGGGAGGCATGGCAGTGTCGATCTCGTCTTCGTGTGATGAAGTGTCCTCATCCTGGGGCGGTGAGGGCTGCTGCTGCTGCTGCTGCTGTTGTGCGGTTGCTGCTGATGCCACCGGCCTGTCGATGGATTCATCGCGGAGGAAGGCGACCACCTGCTGGCCAAGCTGACCCCTGAGGCACACACGCACCCCAAGGACAGGGATGGATGGGTGGGTACGTATGGTGCGTGTGGCTGGATGGTGCTCACTTGAGGTTGCGCACAGACTGTAGTGGCGTTGCTTGCAGCAGGGCCAACACATCGCCAGAGTCACATCGTAGCAACGTGGCACCGTCCTGCGACAGAGAGCATAACACATGACACAGCGCTGCGTCACCACCACGATGCTACCGGTTTGGAGTACTTTGTCGCCAGAGTGGCCAGGAGCCTATTGTGCGCCACACCTCTGCACCACACAGACAGACCAACGAGACCATGATGTCTGAGGGACTAGCAATATTCCTCACTCCTCAAGTTCCGCTTACACGCTGCATGTCATGCCGGGCAGCTCCCTTGCAATGTGCTTGCGGACCACCGCCGCGAAAGCCACGCGACACCAATCCAACACGGAAAGCGATGATATATCCTCAGCCTCAGCGATCCTCTCGGGCGCCAGCAGCCCCTCTCCGTCCGCCTGCAGCCACGTAGTGGCCCCGAGCAGGCCGTGGACTTCCTCCCCACTCGATGCCGATGACACCTGCAGGCCGTATGCCGCGAACAAGCCCTCAAGGGACCGATAGATGGGTGGGGTAGCGTCTGCAGCTTTTCCTGCAGTGTCTTGATCGCCGATCTGCTGCATCATCCACTCCACCTCTCGTGTGGCGTCGATGAGGAAATCGTCCAGGCTGCACTTCTCCACCACCAGCCGAAGATTGGGCGAGGGGCTGACGTGCGTGTCGGTGTTGGGCTGCGGCTGCAGTGTCTGGAGGGCCTTCTCAACTCTCGAGGTGACCGACCGGTAGTATGGTGCGTCCATGACGAGTATGGTGATGTCTGGGCATTTCTGATAGACCTCTTGGAGGCTCAGACGATGCCGCAGGAACTCAATCGCCTGCCGCCCCCTCTCCTGCACACACAGACACAGACAAGAAGGATGATTGACTCACTCGTCATCGGTGTCTATGCTTTCTCATCCGTCCGACTGTGTCGCTCACCCCCGCCCCATCTCCCTTCCTGATGCCCTTTGCTTTTGCCTCATACGACACAGCCACAAAGCCGCCACGGTTGTGCTGCATGCACACACACACAGGGAGGCAGGCAGACAGACAGACAGGCAAACAGAGGGGCATGCAATGCAAAGAACTTGTTGCCTCTTCCCACCCACCTGTGAGACTGCCACAGGCTTTCCCTTGAGATGCGGATGACGCAGCCGCTCAGCCTCGACATAAAAAGCTGACAGCACACAGGCGCACACACGGGGACGGCAGGGACAGTCACCATTCAAACACAGCAAGCAATAGTTGTTGTGGATCCTTCTCACCGTCGACGTCTAAGTGCAAGACGGTCTGGTGATGCGACGCAGATGTCATCACACGCCAACGCAGTGCCTTCCTTCACCTCCCTGTACCGCACCTGCGAGCTGCAGGCTGGGGATCTGATCGGAGGATGCGGAATGAAACTTGGGACGAAAAGCCCCGGTTCATGCTGCCCTCCCCGCCATCAGTTGACTTGCCCGAGAGATCACTGCACGGATCCGCACCCACTTTGTCGGTCCACCACCATGCGGCCCCTTCCCACCCCTCTCATCCCCCCTTGTTGTTTGATCAATCTCCGCACTCTCACGTGACCCGCCTGTGTGACGCGATGTGCACCAGCGAACCCAGCGAGGTCACAGCTCACGGTGAGCTGAGTGGCGAGGTGGCCATGGGCAGGGGAGAGATGAGGAGGCTCCTCAGCCCCCTCGGCAAGATGCAGGTCAGCGGGACTGACTCATTCACTCAGTCGCAAAGGGTCATATAGTGACATGTGACTGGGATACTTGTGTGTCTGGTTGTGGGTTTGTGTGCAGCTGGTGGAGCTGCTGGTGACACTGGGCGACTCCATTCCGGCGGCGAGGAGGGAGATCTACAAGGTGGCGTCGCAGGTGAGTGAGCCAAATGGGATGGATGCAAAGATGCATGGAAGGAGCAGACGTGTACACTTCTGGGCTGCCTTTGTGCTTTGTGTGTATCCCTGCAGACGAGAGCTCACCGCCGGTTGTACGTCAAGGTACGGGAGACAGACAGGCAGACAGACAGGCAGACAGACAGACAGACAGATGGTGCGAATCATCGAACTGATTGATGACGTACTCACTCTGTGTGTGTCGGTCAGAACTTGTCGTACCGCACAACGACCGAATCGCTCCTCCAGGCAGGCTGCGCTCGCTGTTGCCGACGTCGATACGGCCAGAGAGTATATGTCAGTCATGTGGTGTGTATTGCAGGCCTTCAATCAGTTCGGCCCGATAGAGGAGGGAGTGATCGTTACGGACCCCTTCGGCCGCTCTAAGGGATACGGCTTCGTCACGTTCCGCTCAGCTGACGCCGCCCGCGTGGCCATCCAGCGGCCCGTCGATCTTGATGGCAGGAGGCTCACCGTCGGTTTGGCATCTGACCCGCTGCACATGTCGCTGACGAGCAGTTCGAGGGCGGCGGGTCAGCAGGGGGAGAGCGCCTCGAGCAGCGCTCGGGGAGCGGGGCCGGGCAGGACGGCTGCTGGCTATGACGAGAACCACATCACCATGCGCAAACTATTCATCAGGTGGGGCGGAGATGATGGCCTGGCCCATGTGGCCCATGTGATGTGTTGTGTGTCGTGTGTGTCAGGAACCTGAATACGCGGACGACCAACGATTCGCTGCGGAAGGCCTTCGAAGATGTGAGGCGCGACAGACAGACAGGCCGATTGATTGAGACACGCACAAGCCATCGATGAGTGTGTGTCCGTGGGCACGTGCAGCAAGGCGATGTGGAGGATGCATCAGTGCTGTATGACCGCTACGGCAAGTCCAAAGGTGAGCACACCACACCACACCACGATGACCACGATGGGGGGGTGCATGTTGTTGCAGATCAGATTGTCATGTGAGGGATGCATGGCATGGCTGGATGTGTTTGACAGGTTTCGGGTTCGTCACGTTCGTGTCTTCTGAGAGCGCCTCCCACGTCCTGCTCGAGCCACAACGGGTCATCGACGGACAGAGTGAGCACACGCACAAACACTCACCTCACCTCTCCTCTCCATCTATCCCCCTTGCCGTTCCTTCATCATCACGATTTCAGTGGCATTCATCCACCTGGCGGCCGAGCGCGACATCGACCAGCGCCGGTCGAGCCCCCAGTTCAGACCCGACCTCTCCCCACACAGCCAGCCGGTCGGCAGGATGGACGCGCCATTAGGGGGGACCGACAGACTTTCTGAGCACAGCTTCGCCGAGTCGGAGGGCCGCATGCGGGGTCGGATGTTCACGCGGCGGGGCAGGGGCTCCCGCCAGATAGGCCGGTTCGGCCGACGCATGCCCGGCTTCCATCTGGAGGAGTCAGCTGACATGCAGAGCGCCCACTCTGCCCCCTATGCCCCCTATCCCCCTCCTGTCGGCGGCGGCCACCATCGCCCCGGACCCCCGCCGGACGAACAGCCGACCTCCTACTCGCCCCTGCCCCCAGAGATATTTCCAGGCAGCGGTGGCAGGGGTGGTGGTGGGGTGGGGCATCCCTCGTCTTCACGGGCCAATGGGGCCAATGACGAGCCCCCGGCGTTCGAGCGGCGGGGCTGGGTGCCGCCCCCTCCACCCAGCGCGGCTGAGATGAGCGGCCGGCCGGCCATGCGTGGGGCTGCGGGGGCCCAGACGTCAGCCTCACCACCCGCGCCCCCACCTTACGAAGACTGACCGACCGACCGACACACTGTTATGATAGAGACGGGGGGGCTTTGCTGTCGCGTCACAATACACTGCAGACACACAGACGGACTGTGGATTGCACTGGTTTGAGAGAGTTGTTGGCACAGTCCGTCTGTCTGTCTGTCTGTTCCGGGAATGTCCGCTCGTCTCTGTTTGTTTGGGGATCTTTGTCTGTCTGTCTGTCTGTCTGTTTGTCTGATTTTTGGCTTCTGAATGAGATGCGATGGATGGGGTGGATCGTGTGTTGGTGTGTGTAGGTGAGCTAGCTGTGCGCGTGTGGGTGGTTGCATGGGTGCGTGAGTGGGCTGGCCGGCCTGTCTGTCTGTGTGTCTCGTGTGTCTGCCTGCCTGCCTGCAGTGGGCGCTGTTCGGTGCACCCGCCATACCTGCATGTAGTCTGTCTGTGTGTCTGTCTGTCTTTTGTTGGTGTTGCGTTCGCGGCTCCTCGAACTTTCTTACTTTCTCTCGTGGACTTACTTGCCTTTTGCTTGCGTGTGCGCACAGCACCTGGGTGTCGGTTGGTTGGGTTTCTTTGCTCTCCGGTCGGTTCCGTTGGGGGGTCGTGGCTGTTTCTTGTGGCTGGTTTCGTGGGGGCCAGGCCAGGCCAGCCACAGGCGTTTTCTTGGAAAAGGGCTCTAGTAGGATCTTCTGCACGTATAGCGATTCATTCATAATGGGTAGGTGCGATCGTGGCCGGCCGGGCAGACAGACAGACAGACAGGGACGGGCTTTGCTTTGCTCTGGTTGCCGTTTTTTGCGGACATGAATGCATTGGATGCAGAAGTACCATCACACAGACACACGGACGTGCCTGGCTGTCTGTGGGTAGGTCTCTATCTCTGTGTACGACGTCCCAACACACACGTGTGTGTGCTGTGTAAGCCGTCGCGTGTGTACGCCGTTAGGCTGTCGTGCGCACGGCATTCATTCATCAATCGCTGCAAGTGAGTGAGTGGTGTGGGACGACCGTGCCGTGGCGTGCGTCCTCATCTGTTGGACGGACGGACGGATGCCTTGCCTTCCTTCCTTCGTGGGTTGTGACTGTGTGCGTATGTCTGTGTGTGTGTGTGTGTGTGTGTGCCTACCGTACGGTACGTGAATGTCCCACACATAAGTGAGTATCATGAAGGAGGCCAAGTTGCTGCAGCCAATGGCCCTGCATACCCCTTTTGAAGTTTGTTCGCCCGTCCGCCGATCTCTCTGCGTACCTGCCTGGCTGCCTGGCTGCCTGTCTGTGTGTCTGAGGTCTGAACGTCCGCGTCTCTACATACATACATAGTGGCTCGTGGCGCGGAGTGGCGTGGCTGCTTGGCGTCGTGTGTCATGCACCCCCGGTTTTTGCATGCCGCGTTCTTCGTCTGTCTGTGTGCAAGAGCGAGCGAAGGCCAGACGAGTGAGTGGCTCATGGATGGATTGATGTGATTGAGTGGAGTGGGCGAGCGACAGCATCAGCAGCTGGCTGGTGCAGGTGCATTCCGTCCGAATCTTCCATGCGACCATGTTTACCTGTCGGTCTGCAGGTGTTCGTGTCTGTGTGTGTCTATGCCTGTGTGTGTTGTGTTCGTGAAGGCCTTCCTCGACCGACCGACATGATATCTACGCAAGACGTGCCTGTGTGCGGTAGGTATCTCTCGTATGTGAGTACCGCAGATATCGATCAGCTTCAATGAGAGGTGGCTGTCCTGTGCATCAAGCGGACTGAATTACGCGGTTGCTTTCTTGGCCCCAATCTAATAAATACGAAGTTCCAAAGCCTCGGCCATGGCAAGCACCAGCCGCAAGCGAGGAGAAGCAAATGACAAGAGGGACTCGGCACTGGCCTTCGCGAGTAAGTGTCACAACTGGGAACGTCAGGTACAGTATGCCCCTCTCTCTTCTGTGTGTGCAGTGCTCCCGGGACAGAAGGCCCCTGATGCGAAAGCGACTGGGAAAAGCAGTCCCGAGTCTCGTGCCAATACCACCGGACCAAGCACTACAGAACAGACATCCCCCCCACCCCCACCTGCCCCACCGGCGCCTTCGCCCGCACCGGTTGCTCCACAAACCGCACAGCCCAGCGCCACTGCAGCCAGCAAGACAACCGCTGCACCCTCTGCAACCAGCAAATCAGCGGCCACGCCTGCTACTGCCGGTGGTGGCGGTGGTGGTGGTGCTCGTGCTCCGCCAATGATCATCGAGATGCCCCTGGTCCAGCGGAAGCATCGGGGACGCCCACTGACCGCCAATGCCACCATCGGAGGCGGACCGACAGTCCAGAGGCAGCCGACGGGAATGGGGGTCGACAGGCGGGTGCGAACGATGAGGACAGCCACCAATGAGTCGCAAGTATCGGCTGGCAGCGGAGACCGCACACCAGGGCAGCAGAACAAACCGCGGAAAGACCGCAGGGGCAGTGCCGCATTCTATCTGGGAGAGGTAGCCGGCAGCTCCAGCACCGCCCAAGGAGGGAACCCAAAGTGACGCCTTGTTCGACTGACTTAGCTGTGCACTATATACCATCGTTGACACATGCATGCCTCGGGGCACTATGTGTGCTGCCTGTTTGTTTTTGTGTATTGGCGTGTGCAGCTCCGTATGTATCGTGTTTGCGCCAACATGTTTCTCACAGGTCTCTCTCTCTCTCTCTCTCTGGGTGTCTGCTGAGTGCGGATGGTGTGGTGGTAGGCAATAGAGACTGTCGGGCTTTCAGCCAGGCCATGAATGGCGCGCGTGTCTGCAAAGCATCAGACACCCTGGCATCGGCTCCTGTACACGGCTACCTCTTTCTACCTCTTTCGTGAGTAGACACATCCCCTTCCGTGGTAACGTGTGCATGTAGACTCCCTTTCATGGAATGAATGCCTCATGAATTATCTCACGCTTACTTCTCAACTTGACAAACTTGCTCCTTTGCTCCCCGCGTGTGACGGTCCTCTTTAGCCCTCATCGTGTCCACATTGCCGCGCAGCTGGCAAGAAGAGGCCCATAACGCAGCCGATTGACGGCGCCTCGTGGGCCGCGCCTCACTCACGAGTGCTTTTCTTGATTGTTTTTCTTGATGTAGAGACAGCTTATCGACGATAAGCGCAAGACGATGGGACCTCATCAGCATGAATGAAGTGATGATGGTCATGTGTGTTGAGGAAATGTCGAGAGATGGGCGTAGAAGCGTTAGTGAGAGTCACCATTGTTCTCTTTCGAGTCCGACTGGTCTTTCTCTCGTGGATGACGATACGCCGGTTGATCACGTCGCTCACACACAGCCAGCCATCTACACGTTGCACTCACCAGTGAGAGTCACCACTTCACGGACCAGCAGTGACCCAGCCGCTCGTGCGTGGGATCGATGCACGTGTTGCACGACTCCCAGTCCTCGTCAATCAGCGGCGTTGAATGTCATGTGCTGGGGATAATGGCGGCCTTCGGTGTGGGCGACTGGGAACGTCCACCTGCGGCGGCCCTCTGTAGCAGCGGAGGCCTCTGCAGCCAGCCAACACGCCCAAGAGATAAGTGAGGCGTGTAGAGGGAGGGGAAGGGGATGGAGACACGGCGTCTCAGCTGCCTCACTCACTTACCCTTGTCAGATGGAAATGCCGCGCTTCTGTCGGCAGTCCCTTGCCTCCCCCGTCCAAACTCTGCATTCAATCAGCACAGACACAATCAAAACATGATTCAGAGGTGTATTGGTAAGGAAGGGATGGAGACACATCGTTGGTGTCTCACTTTGGGAACCGTTGACCTCCATGGCCACACGTCCGGATCCAAATCCCCCTGCCGTCGTGCGGCATTGGTCCTCCTCGCCGTGGCGCTCAGAAACCCATCCACAGCCGCCATGCTCGTCGATCGTGGTGGTCTCGGTGCTCCACTGTGTCTCGTACTTGTTGTTGCCCTTCTCGTTGTGGGGCCTCTGCAGCAGTCCGATGCCGAGAAGGACCAGCTCTTGCGGTCCAACCACCACCGCGTCATATAGTGCGTTGGCGAAGCCCGCACCGAAACTCTCGCACTGCTCCCGCCATCGGGGCTGCTCTCGCACTGCTCCTGCCATCGGGGCTGCTCCCGGCTCGATGATGCGCTGCTCCCGCTGCGCCAGGACACGTCCACGCTTCTCGGCCCGCTCCTTCTCCTGGCGTCGGATCTCTTCCTCGGCGATGATCTTGTGCTGGTAGATCTCCTGCTTCTGCTGGAAGATCCGCAGTCCCTCTCTGATCTTGTACAGGCGCTCGCTCTCTTCCGCCCAGCGTTGAGGATCGTCCCAGGGCCACAGGGGCTCCGCCTTCATGGGAGTCTCCTTCTCCTTCGCCGCTTGGGGCGCGTCCTCCGTCGGTTGGGGCTCCTTGGCTTCTGTTGCAAAGTTGTACGAGTACTTCCGCCTCACGGCCTCGTTGAGCTCAAGGAGGCTGAGCCGCAGCTCGCAGCTTTCGGCCGCTCGCGTCAGCTTTCGCACCAGGTCCTGACTTGTTGTGGACGTGGTTTGCATGGTGAGACAAGAAGAGACGGACACCGACTCAGAGGCCGCTGGGTATCGTTGAAAACGTTGAACTCCTCCAACCATGATGTGTGGCTTGGCAGATGTGTTGCGGTACAGCTTTGTCTCAGGGAGACGGCTTCTGAATATGGGGGGCGCCCCCAACGCACCGCATGCCAGCTCGCACAAAGGTGCCATTGACTCGAACGAAAGAGAATGCCTCCAGCGGGTGACGAAGGGATGGCTGACCTGGCAGCCAATGGTGAGGGTGGCGATATCCATGATGGAGACGAAGAGGACCTTGAGCCCGTCAGACCTGCATGGACCGACACTGTGAACAAGAGGCTTGCCATCAGCACTCTCGAGGACACGCTCCGCAGCGTGCTCAACAAATCTGCCGATGGCTCCCCTTCCAAATTTCAGGTAACGCACAACAGAAAGGAGGAATAGCCATCGATGGGTGTCAATGTGTGTGTGTGTACATGCAGTCGACGGGCAAGTTTCGCGAGGACTACGAGAACCTCTGCGAGTTGTGCGGCCTCCCCGCGGCCCATCCCTCTCTGTGTCGGCCCCCGCTGCCCTATCTGGAGTTCTATCCCACCCCCGCCCACCTGCTGAGGCCACCAGATCCTGTAGGAACTACACACAGACAAACACACATACGTGGCTTCACCACCTGTTTGTCTGACAGGAGCCTGATATCTGGGGCACACCCGCAGCAGGGCCGCTGCCGGTGTCGGCCCATCCCTCCGGCCGGTCAGCGCACGATCCATTTGCGGCCTACGATGAGCCGGACAAGGGGGAGGAGAGGAAGGACGAGTATGAGAGTGTGTGGGTGCACGGCATGAAGGTGGATATCCAGTCGCTGGTGCTCCTGGGGGTGCTTGTCAGAGTCATGGCCAAGAGATGGCAAGACAGCGCGTGAGTGAGCATTTTCTGGTGGGGAGTGGAACAGCTGCATCCACAGTGTGGATTTGTTGGTCGCACCATAGGTGCCCGATATCGAATTGTTTGGGGGTGTTGAAGTTCATCACCTGCCATTTGGACATCTACCACCTGCGCATCCTCAGGCGAATGCTGGGGCCCGCATCGACCATCAGGACGCTCCATCTCGGTCAGCGAGTGCATGCGACAGAGACACCACAACTCACACACGAGGCACTGGGTTCGTTGGTGCTTTCTTTCTGCCACTTACGCACAGATTGGAATCCAATGCGGCTGCCCGGCGACTACTACAAACAAGTGAGACGCGCCGCCTGCTTGTGTCCATCCATCGTCTGCTTCGTTCGGTTCCTGCAGGTCCGCCTTGCCGTCAAGAAACTCGATGAAGAGAAGCGAGGCGCACTTCAGTCCACGAGACTGCAGGCGCTTAGACAGAAGCTGGTCGACAAATGCGCCAACCTACAAGACGTCAGCACACGAGGGGGGGACGGGCAAGCATGGGAACCAAATGTGTCGCTGTCTGTTGGTGTACGTGTGAAGGCTTTCCGCCGATTTGATCTGAACAAGGACCGAAAAATATCGTGGGAGGAGTTTGCCAGGTACGGAGGGAATGGACGGCAGAGTTAGTGGCCCACTGTGTTTGTGATGGGGACACCTTCTGTGTCTCGTGTGCAGGGCTCTGTATAAGCTGCGCTTTGCTCCGTATGACATCCATTTCTGCTTCGCCATCCTCGATACCAATGAGGTGAGAAGATCATACCAGGATAATGCGCGGGCACCACAATGTCCCTCCCTTCCCGCAGGACAACTTTCTTGATTTTGATGAGTTTGTGACTACGATGGAGTCCCTCCCAGAGCCGACCCCCTCCGACAAACCCTCCCCCCCACCAGCCCCGCTCACTGACACCCTCCCGCAATGCGCCGTGCCATCGCCTGTTGAAGCGGCGGCCACAATGGCCACATATGACGAGGGAAGCTTCGTGGACCCTTGGTCGCGGGCCCTGGGAAACATCATCAGCCCCACAGCTACTCTAGAGGTGCGCGATCCATGTGTTTGAACGGTCTGATTGTTCTTTGGTTTGTGCCATAGCGATTGAGCCTTCGCAGCTGTGGGCTGGATGCCCGGTGCAGCGGCCCTTTGGTGGAGATGCTGCAGGCCAACACGCGGCTAAAGGTGCTGAATCTGTATGGCAATCGGCTGGACGACCGGTGCTGTGAGGCCATGGGCACCGCTCTCTACTTCAACCGCACTCTCGAGTGCCTTTTGCTTGCTCGCAACCCGGTCACCGACAGGGGGCTGCAGAACCTCACCAAATACCTCGGTACGCATGACGGCAGCTACAGATGGATGGATGTCATCACACACGCACCTGCCCCCTGCAGGGTGCACCGTGGTGCCAGCTGACGAGCTCAAGGCGATCCAAGGGCTGGTCAAGGAGCAGCAGAAGACCCTCCAGTCGTTCCAGCAACAAAAGGAAAAGGACAAAGCCGCCGCGGCAAAAGCGGGAAAGACGTACGTATGCATGGGAGACAGGCAGAACACACACCAAAGGCAACTAATCGTAGACGGCCTTCTTGTGCATGTGGCCGTACCTACCTGATCTTCAGTGACGAGGCCGCCCCAACGATCGACCAGCTTATCTCGAGCGGCATTGAGGACGACGAGACAGCCGGCGGTGAGGGAGCCCCGACGTCATTTCTGGCACCACTGGCCGACAGGCTGGAGGAGAATGTGGCTGCGGGCGAGGGACAGCCGCCTGTTCACCTGCTGTGGAGAAACTGCAGTCTCAAGCTGCTACATCTGGTACATAACAACCAGTACGGAGACAGACGGCTGCACGTCTGTGTGTCTCTTCGTGCGTCTGTCTGCGTGTGTGCAGGAGAACACGAATGTGGAGAGTCTCACGCTTGTGTCTCGGCTGCAGAAGAGAGGACCCCCAAAGGCATTCCTCTTCCTCAAAGGCAACCGACACTCACACATGCATGAGACAGACATGTCGAAGATATGAGACAATCCATGGCGTGTCTTTCGCTATGTCTGATGCATTCTCAGGCACTCCTGCTGCCGCCGAGCACGTCCGCAGACAAACAGAGACCAAGGTGCGCACCTGCACACAGCACGCAACACGATTGATCCAGCTATCGACCATGGGCGTCTGTGTTTCGGTCACAGACGGCTTCTGCCGACCTGCCACCAGCCCCAGCCGAGCCAACTGGGCCAGCGGAAGGCGAGAAGGAGTCCGTGCCGCCACAAGAGCAGCCCCCACAGTCGGCTGAAGGTGAGGGCGAGATGCCATTAGGGGGGCCAGACCCGCTGGACAAAGTGCGGCTGGCGGGATGGCGGATCAAATGGAGTGTGTGATGGTGATGTGTGATGTGTGAGTCTGTCGTGACTGACTTTGGTGTGGACTGACCACGTGTGTGTTCATTTCTTGATCTCCATGCAGCACGCAGCACGAGCAAGTCTTGAAAGTGCATACGCACACACACACACACACACTCAGAGAGAGAGAGAAGGAGAGAGAGAGAGACCCACCGTCACATCTAAACATCTCACCCAACTGCCTCGAGACGCGCATACCCTCCCTCCCTCTCTAGTATAGCCTGCACAGCTCCACGTCGACGCCAAAGTTGTGCTGCTCTAGCACCAGAGCATAGTGGGCCTCTACTCGCGCAAAAGAGCGCTGCACGTGCAGAAACAGGTCGTCTGACTGCAATGGCAAATCGGTCTCCTGATCCGTAGAACTCAGGCAGACCTGCGCTCTCAGTGGGCGTATGGCCAGCGTCGTGTCTATGCACCTGTCGACCACTGGCTGCACGAAGGGCACTCTCTCTCCATACCCAAACGAAAAAGAATCTTTTGAGGAATGGAAGTGTAGGCACTTGACATGCGAGGAGGGAGGAGAGGCAGAAGCACTCTCTGCCCCTGGCTCAGCTGACGCTGCACTCGACTGGCTCAGCTCAAAGGGGGGCAGAAAGTCTATCTCGCGCAGATGGACATGGTCCACCACCCCGCCAGACGCAACCCCACACATGGCAACTGCCTGAGTCAGTGAGTCGTGGTGGCAGCCATACACCGACAACGACGAGACGCCCGGCAGTGTGCTGAGCACACGGGTCAGGTTGTTTGTGCCGAAAGGCACACGACCGCCACGCGCATTTGGACGGCCCCATGGCTTTCTCATCTCGATCTGCACCTCGGTCACGCGAGGAAGGTCGTAGTCGCCCGTCAGGAAGTCGGGCACGCCGCCAAGCGCCTCGGCGGACGTCACTCCCGTCACCGTGAGCTTGCGCGCCTTCGGGAATTGCAGCTGCCGTGCCCATGAGCGATGCAGGGCAGTGCCGCCACACTGGATGATCACCTGAAGAAAGAGCAAGTCATTAATTGACGCGCACAGAGAAGCGCGTATGTGTTATTGGATCATCGATCTTTCTTTGTCTGTCTGTCTCTTGCGTACCACCTCAGTCATGCTGGCCCACTGTCTGACGGCCCTGGTCAGAAGGCCTTCCACCACGGGCAGTGCTCTCACGTAGGCCTCCTCGCAGTCGATCGTGAAGCCCTCGTCGATCTCGCAGTCTCGGTCGGGTGTGAACGTCCACGTCACCTCACACTTGCTGGTCTCGGCCCACTCGAGGAAGCCGGACAACTTGGTGGACGGCCCGTCCGAGAACGTCAGGGGCACATCGACTAATGCACGCGCTTCAAGCACAAGCTTCTTCGACGCATCTATCGATAGAACGGCAAGACAGGCACCGGACGGACGTGATGTGTGATGTGCAGAGTGTCCTTTTCCCCATTTGTTTGTTTGTCGTCTGTCACCTTTGTTCTCTGGCTTGTTCCAGTTCTTTTCGAGGGCCTTTCTGAGTGACTCGAAGTCTGCCGACGCCCAGGGGAAGAAGCCAGAGATACTGACACACAGCCACACAGACAGACAGACAGACAGAGGGAGACGGATCATCTGCACCTGTGTTTCTGTTTACCTGACGAGCTTGCGGCACCTGCCGAAGGCAGAGATGAGTTTGTCGATGTCGTTGGAGCATCGGTATGGGGGGTACTCTGCATGTATTCGACAACACTCAGTCACACGACGCAACAGGGGCGTTTTGTATGGTTTGGATCATTACATACCCAGGTGTGTGAGTGTCGGTGCTGCCCGTTTGATGACTTCACAAAGGTGAGGGATGCTCTCGTAGTCGAAAAACCCGTAGACCCGCAGTGTGGTGAGCTTGGGGAACTTCCAGTTCTGGGCGCGTCTCCTTTTGCGGAACCACAGGAATCACATCAGGCAAAGCAAACCACAGGAACCACACAAAGTGTTCATGGGCCTGTCTAGGTGTAGGTGTCTGCGGCTTACGCCAGCCACTGGACGCTGAAGCCGCGGTCAAAGTGTAGCTTGTCAAGTGACTCGAAGACCACCTGCAGGATGCAATCATCAGCCAGAAGGCCGTCAGTCTCTCCGTCAGTGCATCTAGATCGAAAGCGTGTGTCCAGTGTGTCTGCAGCGAGCACCTTCGGCCGCTTCTCGAGTCGCGTTCGCGTGCGTGGAGCGTCGAAGAAGTCGTCCCGTGGACCGTCGAAGAAGTCGTCCAGGGGATCGTCTTCCTCGTCGTCGATGTCCTCCGAGTCGCTTTCCTCCTCTTCGTCATCAAACGGGATCCCCAGGGTGAGTGACTTGAGCGTCGCCGCGGATGACTCAACACACTCAATGGGAAAGGCAATGTGGAGGTCATCGCCACTCAACTCGGCCGTCTTGAGCTGACTCTGCATACACACAGAGCCAACAAGTCACAGATACCGGTAGGACGGATGTTGGGAGCTTCGAGTGTTGGGTGGTTGGTTGGCGTGTTCTGCCCGCCCCGTCAGCGTACCAGTCTTGTCTTGAGGCCCTTGATCCGTCGTATTTTGTCCTCAGGAGCCGGTCCAAACCCCCATGGCCCCATTCTGGTCTCCCTCAGGCTTCGCCAGAACCGGTCTTCCGTAGAGGGAACCACCAGGTGTTGATAGATGACGGGCTCGACGTCGCCCCGCACGGCCCTGTTGACGGACACGAGTGGCGCGGCTTCCTTGGTGCTAAAGAGGGCCAGCAGGCTCGTGACGACATCGGGCGGCAGCCCATCGAGGCACGGAAGTCCATATTCCTGATAGGCAGCCAGGCACCAACAACACTTGACATGAATGACTGGTGTGATACCTTTCCGGCACCCTGTGATCTGTGCGAGGCCAGCCTACCTGATCTGTTGACTGCCCGGCCCTTGTGCGGGGGTTTCCCCTGCCAACAGGCTGGGGCAGTGGTGTTGGCAGCGTCGACGGTCCTGGACGAGTCCGCGGGTCTGGATGGTACCTCACGTCGCTGAACAGGTCGCTCAAGTCGTCGAGTGCACCCGACGCCGAAAGCATGCTCTGCTCCAGGAAAGAGAATCCGCCAGCGGCACCAGGCACCTGGGTTGCGACGGCAGGCGTCATGTGCTGCCGCGCCCTGTAGAACCGACCCACAAACTGAGACCAAATGGCAAAAAGATCGATACAGAAAAGATCATGCATGTGAGCGGTGGTTCATCGCTGCAGCAGATAAGTAGGTACCTGTGAGTGAGCGGATTTCATTCGCCTCAGCTCAGCCTGCAGCTGTCGCACATCCTCAACGTCATCCTGGGGACGGACACAGACAGACAGACACACGCACTGTGAGCCTGACTGTTGCAGAGATCCCTTGATTCGCTCCGTTCCCGTTGCTTGCCTTGCCCACCTGCCGCACGACGGTAGGGAGACCCACGGACGGTGCCTGTGCTGATGCCGCTGCCGCTGCCGCTGCTGCTGACGCTTGACCTCCATCCTGCCGTTGCCTTTTCGCAGACGGCTCATCTTCATCGCTGCTGTCATCGAGATTGTCCCATTTTGAATAATCGTTGGGTATCGACATCGCGTGGAAGACCACTTTTGGTCAGAGGGGAAGGGCGCTTCACTCGTCTGCGAGCCTACGCTCCTTCCTGGCCGCGGCATGCATGAATGATGTCATATTTATCATCGCTATAAGGTCGGTCTAGCCATCATGGATTGATCGGCAAGGTCGGTCCAGTTCCAGCCATGTACAAGCAGGCGCACCCTCCCCCCCGGCCTCACACAAGATTACCAGCGGACATGTACCCTAGGACACGCGGACAAACTGTCATCAATCCGCTCATCCGGTTGTTTGTTTGTCCATCTGTCTGTCTACCCCATCAGCCGCCATCGATCGGCCTGCCCTCCCCGTGATTGTCCCCGGGCTGCCTATGCCCTTCTCCAGGCCGCTGCAAAGGGCACACATCGATCTCCTCGCGGACGTCCACAGCCACGTTGGCCAGCAGCGTCACCTCTATTGTGTCGATCTCGCCACTATCATCATCGCCATCGCCAGAGCCACCGCCATAGGTGCAGCCGTTACGTGTGTACTCTGCTCCATGGGTCTGCTCCTCTACGACGCGTGACGACATCAGGGCTGGGTCGGCCGGCTGCTCATGCTGACCGTGGTGAGTGACCTGGCTCGGCGCCGATGAGGGGCCGTCGTCCACCTCTCCATCGCCCTCCCTCTCTCCCTCCTCCATCGTGTCGGACCGTGTCAGCCGCGTCACGCACGAAGGAGGCGTGTGGGCCAGCGGTGGGGGCGCCTGAGCCTGAGCGGGTGCAGGTCTCGCCTGCCTGTCCACCTGGTCGCGCAGGGCTTCCACCTCGGCCCTCAGTGCCGCCAGGAACTCGTGTGGCGGGATGCTGAATGAATGTAAACACCCATCCATCCATCCATCGATCCGAAATTTGGCAGACTTACAGGAAAGCGGTGGGTGGGGCGGTGGGTGAGGGCCCCTGCTGCCCGCTGTTGCCACTGCCATTGGTGTCGATGGCCGCCGGCCGAGTGTTGGCTGGGTACTCGGCGAGAGGGGGAGGGGGCGGGCGGGCGTGGGAGGGGGGCCGGGCAGGGGGGACGCTTGGCGGCGACGAGTCGTACAGTGGCAGCATGACGGGGAAGGACGCGTTCATGAGGTACTGCATGTGTTGCTCCGCACGACCCACCTTCTGCACACACAGCACACAGGTGGGATGCATAGCTATGCATCCTCCCGGGTCGGTCTTTCTGTGCCCCGTACCCTTGTTCGTCTTTCTAGCTCTTCGCGCACTCGTGCTTCGCGCCTCAGGCCATGTGTCAACTCTATGTTCTGCCGGTTGGCCGGAAAAGACAACACGAAGATGCACACACACAGGTACAGAGGACCTGTTGTGGTCTCTACCTACCTTATTCCGAAGCTGCTCGATGGCCGCGAGCGCCCGCTTCGTCTCGTGAGCTTGCTGGACAGGAAGACACAGACAGACAGACAGACAGACAGATAGACAGACGACAGGCGATGGACAGACACGGATACATCCGACAGGCGTGTGTGGCTCACTGCACTGACCTTATCTAGCTGCAGGTTGGTGGCGTTGAGCTGTGTGGCCAGGCGGCCCAGCTGCTCCTCACGCACAAAGAGTATCTCTGACAATGAACCGCACCAACCAAGCAAATATCAATCCATCCATCAATCACGTGCCCCACTGATCATACTCTGGAGTTTTTGGTAGTCCGTCAACTTCTCGCCTTCGGCATGGCCGCCATCCTCTTTGCCGCTGCTGCCCTCTCTCTCCTTGCTGCCTGCCTCCCCCTCCGCCCCCTTGTCGGCCGAGTCGCTCATTGGCGAGTTCCCGCTACTGCTCGTCTTGTCACTCTGGCTCTGCACACACACACACACACACAAGCACATCCAGTGCGTGTGCTGGTGAGATGCCTGGCGGCTCGTGCACATTAGGTGGTGCTGGTGGCGGCGGGAACGATGGCGGGAAGGACGCAGATGCCGCCGCGTTGAACGGCGGAGGGCCTGGGATGTGGCTGCCGGTGCCCAGCCGCAGCTCCAGACACTGAATCGTCGCGTCACGCGTTGCCAAGTCGCCTGACGGGGGAGAGGAGAGAATAAGGAGGAAGGCAAGGCAAGCAGTTGTGTGGTGTGGACGGGCGGGCGGACATGCACACACGTGGCATACTTACACCGCAGTCGCTCGACGATGACACGCAGCTGGTCCTCAGCGAATTTCACACGGTCCTCCAAGAAGAGCACCCTGCACTCGGCCTGCTCCTTCTCATCACGCTCACGCGACAACCTGACCACACACACACAGACACAGACACAGACACAGAGTACAGTTGGTCTTCTGTCGGCCTGTGCTGGCGATGGCAGGCCCACTCGTGCGTCAGCTGGGCAATCTGTTTGTGAAGGCTCTGCACGTTGTGAGATGGAGAGAGGGGATCCAGATAGTATGTCAACTGGGTGCGTTCGTTGTGGCTGCGTGGGCGGTGCGCTTACCGACTGCAGCGTGATGAAGGTGTCCTGGGCAGCGTGCCAGTCCTCCTGGATCTGCAAGATCTGGCAACGTAACGCCTGAGAGATAGAGAAAACACACACAGATACATGTAGAAGAGAAGCTGTAAGTTCCGCGATTTCTTCTTCTTGTTGTTTTGTGCCCGACGTACGTCGTTTTCGTCCGCCAGTGTGTCCCCTTTCAGCTTCCTCTGCAGCTCCTCGACTTGCCTCGTCAAGATCTCCACTTGCTTGCCTCTCGCCTCCTCCGAGCCCTCACCTGGCCCTCTTCCATCGCAGGCGGCCGTGTTCCCGTCGCTCGGCACGCTCATACGGCCGACATTCCGCTCATACGGGGATTCTCTGCCCTGAATTCTGGCCTTAAAATGGGGCCCGGCGAGATGCGAGCTTGGGGCCGAGAGACAGAGACGGAATTTTCCGATTTCGAAATTGTGACGACCGAAACACAAGCGGCTCACACAATCCTTCTTCCACGCCCCTTCCTTCTGAGTTTCAAGAGAATTGACGAAGGACGAGAACCGCAACAGCACAGCGTCACACGGTAGGCTACGACGCGTCGCTTCCTGTCCACTCCGCGCCCTCATTCAGATGCACACGAACGGCAGGGCAGACCAGGGGGCCTCGAGAAGGAAGGAGGCAGGATAGCAGGGAGGGGAAAACGGCCGTCAGATGTCACACCTGCAGGTCCTCTCCGTCGGTATCAATGTGTATCTGTGGATGTGTGTGTGTTCCTGGGTGTAGATGAGCCAGCGGGGCGAGCCAGCGTCTGCCGCCTTCGCTGCGGCTGCGGCTGCGGCTGCCCCTGTTCCGCAGGGGCAGCCCGTATATCGGCAGGTCGGCCGATATTTGTACGAGGACGACCGGCTGATCTACAGGGTCAGCCGGGAGGGCGAGCACGTCCCATACGCCAGCTACGAGGACGGTACGGATGGAACAGGACAGGGGATGGCAAACCGGCGCAGGAATGTGTGCGTCTGTGTATTTGTTTGTATGTAGACCCGTTTGCGGCGCTGCTGGGCGAGGACGAGGGAGGGTGGACGCCTGGTAGGCAGAGGATACTCATGCGATATGTGAGCGTGGCGTTTCAGTGTCTTACGCGTCCGATATCCGAGGTTTTTCCTTTCCTGGGAACGTCACATGTCGACGCAACATTGCCAGGTAGGCGAGCAAGCAGGCAGGGGGAGGGGGGAAAGACCTTGACTGACTGGTCGGCAAACTTTCTTCCCCTTGACTGACTGGTCGGCAAACTTTCTTCCTACAGGTGGCGGTGTTGCTTCAGTGGGTGGCCGACGGTTGGCGACGATTGACGAAGGTAAGAGTAAGGCAGGCAACACCTTCAATCTACATCCATTGTGTCAGTTGAATATCACTTCCGCACTCTGCGCGTAGTCTGCTGTGTGGCCTCTCTCTCTCTCTCTGTGTGTGTGTGTGTGTGTGTATGTGTATGTACTAAAACATCCCCCCTCCGTCTGTTGCTTGATGATGTGCTCGTGTCACCCTCACTCAGGACGCCGCACGCCGCTCACGCCCGTCACGCCGCCTGAAAGCCGCCCCAGACTCGCCAGGAGCCCCGCTGACCTGGTACGCGAGAAGCACCAGATGCGCGCGCGGTTCGGCGCATGACAAAGCCGTATGACGTGTCTGTGTATGGTGTGTGGTCATCAGGAGAGATGGCGGCTGGCAGATGAGGTTCGCATAAACAAGAGAGGAGTCGTTTGTTGGAGGCATCTGTGAACAGTGGTGTGTCCCTGTCCGTGTGTGTGGTCAGCGGCTGGCCCGAGAGGAAGCCCGCCAGCGCGAGAGACAGCTGCAGGTACGGAGCTGAGAGAGGTGGTGTGGGTAGTCAGGGATTTGTGTCTTTTTGTGCGTCCTTTTTGCATGTGCTCAGCCCGCCGGAGCATCACGAGGAGGGGGGCCATCTCGCCCATTCACGCCCACACCCACCACGATGCACACACAGGTGGCAAGTGAATGGGCTGCAGAGATGGGGACTCCTATAGGTTGCCTGTGATTTGTGTGCAGCAGTCGATGCATACCGACTTCTACCGGCCCCTTCGCCGCCCGCAGGTACACGAAACGTGGCTAGAAGGATAGAATGGATGCCTATGTCTGCTGATCGTTTTGATTTTGCAGCCGAGTACTGCACTGAGCGGCATCAACCACCGCGCACACATGCACGGACGACGCCTGTCTTCAGGTTGGTAACCAAGGATTCGGGATCGCTGATAAATACGATCACATCTGCATCGACGGCAGCTGCAGCGGCTGCTGCCCTCCGAGGAGGAAGGCAGCAGCCCTTTCTCAAGCAGGAGGGGGACGTCCTCCTCACTGAAGACGGGCGGCTTTTTGCCAAGATGTTCAGCAACGCGCCCATTGCCGAAGCGGCGAGCTACAGGAGCACACGCGGCCCAGGTGACCCAGAGGGGGAATGGGAGATGGCCAATGTGTACGTGAGTTTGTGTGTACGCAGGAGCCATGGCAGCCCTCGCCGTCGCTGCCAGCGCTTCCCCTCCCCGCTCCGGGGTGGGGATCTACGTTCCCACACCCTCAGGTAGCTCAGGTGACAAACTCAGGTAGCTCACTTGTGATGCTGTATGTGCTTGTGTGACCCCCAGACGGCCTGGTGACGCCACCGATGCCCCGCACACCCCCCGAGCTGGCCACCGAGTGCGAGCGGAGCCGCCGCTACAGAGAACTGACGGAGGTCCGCAAAGACGTACGAGATGGGCCCATGAGGCAAGTAACATGACGTGAGTGTGTGTGTTGTGCGTCGTCATCAGGAGCACGAGTAGCGGATGGACGAGGTTCACACAAGCGAGAGAAGCGTCATTTGCTGAGGGCATCTGTGGACATGGATCTGTGGTGTGCTCAGTGGCAGAGAGCCGCCCAGATTTCCATCGAGCGGCGGCGACGACGAGCGGTAGGGAGATGACAGAGGTGTGTGTGGAAGAAACATTTGTCATATGTGTGTGACCATTTGGTCCCACAGGCACGTGCAGGACGCTCTTCGCACCCCTCGCCACCGAGACAGCAGCAGGTGGAAGGATCTGAAGATTCCATCCTGCCATTGGCTCAGGCCGCTGCACGGGCTGGTGCCCGAGGAGGAGTGCGCCCTGCTGCTTTGCAGATGGTAGGTGGATCGTCTGCAAAGATGGGGGTGCATAGGGCGCTTGTGACATGTGCGCTTCTGTGGATGCTGTTCAGAGGGGAGGAGCTGGCCAGCCGTTCGCCCACCCAGTCGTGCACCACCAGGTACATAGAAAATGTCAAGGAAAGGGGCGGACGAATGGACGGACGGACGGACGGAGGAATGGATGGATGGATGGATGTATCTGTTGGTGGTCGTTTTCGTCGTGCAGCCACGGATGCACTGCCCCCTGATGGCCGCCTATGCCCCCTACGTACGAAACGACTAATTGAGAGCATATAACGATTCCACTCAGACGTACGTGTATGTGTGTTTCCTTCAGCAGCTCGTGCACCGTGTTCCCAGCCCTCCCGGTGGCGGTGGTGATGGGAACGAGAAGGAAGAGGACGACTGCTGCTGGCTCTGTTCATGCTGCCGCTGGCTGGCGGCATGCCTCTGTTTCAAGCAGGAGGGGGCGACCTTCTGACTGACGGGCGGTGTTGTTTCGCCAAAATGCTAAGCAACACGTGCCCATCGACGGAGTGATGGCCGTCAGCACCGTGCACGAGTAGGGAATCGATACCGAGAAGGCCGACGTGAGGGAGGCGGGCATGGCCACCGTTGAGGTCGACCTGCGGTCTTCGCCAAGGAGCCATCCCAAGGGGTCCTCCCGCGTCGACCACCGCAGAGCACAGGTACGTCCGTCCGTCCGTCCGTCCGTCCGTACGTACGCATGAGTGAGTGAGTTGTCTGGACGAGTGAGATGATGTGTGATGGTTCATGTGACTGACACGCATTCAACGAATCACCTGACTGACCTGTGTATGTGTCTGTACGTGTCTGTATCTGTGTGTTTCATCTACAGGCCGCCAGCAGTCCGCTGCGCCGCCGTGTCCATTATGTGCCGCCCCCGCCCCGCCCTCCCCTACCAAAGCCAACACGAGTAAGTGTGCGTACTGCGTGCTCCATGAGCATCACCTAATCACACGGAATGCTCTCTGTCTGTGGGTACATTATGTGTGTCAGCAGGTCAGCGAGGGGCGCCACGGTGACCGGCAGCACCAGCAGCACCTACTGGCCCCTCCCCCGCCAACCGCCCACCTTCCCCTCCGCATGACCCCTGCCCCACCGCGACAGATGCCCCACCAGCGGGCGAGGCACAATGTCCATATGGTGCCGGCTCCTCCCCGCCCTCCCCTGCCCACACCGCCAACGGCCCACCACCCTCGCACCACTGGCACCCACACCAGGATGGCCATTGGTCGGAGTCGCCCCCCCAGAAGAAGGGGGGGCTCTTCTGCTGTTGCTGAGGGCCGTGACCTACCGCCCCCCCAGAGAGGGGGGCAGGGGGGGCAGGGGGGGCGGGGGGGCTTGCGTAGTGTGGAGGGGCCACGTGACAACCACCCGAGAAGAGAGAGGGGGGAGAGGCCACAGGCGCCAGACGACGGCCGTGACAGGGACGAGGTCATGGTCCCAGCAGCCGCAGCCCCAGAGGGCCACCCAGACAGCGACCCATGGAGACTGGGCGGGCAAGACGAGCGGCCGGCATCCCTGTGCCGATCCCCGATGAACATCCAGAGTCCCCAGACAAGGTTCGGGAAGACATAGCGATGGCCCTGACGCTCATCCACTCCCACTACCAGAAGCAACCCAGGTAGGTACTAACTAGAGCGAGAGAGAGACATTCATTAAGTAAGGGAGACAGACAGACAGACAGACATTTCCAATGCATACCCGCTCTTTTGTCTGTGTCGTGCCTCCTTCCAGCGTCGACCACCGCAGAGCACAGGTACGTCCGTCCGTCCGTACGTACGCACGAGTGAGTGAGTTGTCTGGACGAGTGAGATGATGTGTGATGGTTCATGTGACTGACACGCATTCAACGAATCACCTGACTGACCTGTGTATGTGTCTGTATCTGTGTGTATGTGTGTGTGTGTTTCATCTACAGGCGCGCACAGCAACACGGGCCGCCGCTCGCAGTCCGCCCCGCCACCCCGTCCACTTTGTGCCGCCCCCGCCCCGCCCTCCCCTACCTACACCTGACGCCACCCAAGCGCCGGATCTCCACTCACACCCAGCTCCACCCTTTGGCGCCGCATCATCTGCTGCCCACCCTAATCATCTGTTGTTTGGCAATTGGGAGAGGCAGCTCGGTGGGTATGCTAGTCCGCCTGAGGGGCGTACGGCGGCAGCGGCACCGGCATCGGCATCGGAGACCCATCGCCATGTGCAGGGGAGGAGAGGAATGGGTGCGGCGAGGAGGGAGGGCAGAGGAGCTGTCGGGCTCTTTGGCGGCGGGCAGACCGCAGCGGCCCCGTCCCCCTCTGTGGGTGTTTGCGCATCGGCCAGTCCCACTCCCACTCCCACCCCCGCACACCGCCACCACCTATCAAGTGCGGGAGCCATCCCCGCCGCCCAAGGGGTGGTGGGGATGCTGCGGCTGCTGAGGGCCTCGGCCCTCAGCAGCACATCATCTCCCCCGCTGAAGGGGGGAGGGGGGGAGGGGGTGCTTAGAGAGAGGCTGTGTGTGAGATGGCCCATCATCCGACTCTTGTCGACTTCGACGCCGACGACCCATCGCAGCGCTTCACCAAGGCGCGACAAGTACCGCGCTGTGCAGGCCGCAGACCAGAAGTCCCTCCAAATGCTGCTGGCGGACATAGCCGAGCTGCAGGTCAGTGCACGACAGACACGCCGATCCTACTTAGTTTTTGTTATCCACACGTCTGTTCTGTCTGTCTGTCTATCTGTCTGTCTGCCTGCAGACCAAAATCAAGCAGCTGGAGGACGAGAATGCGGAGCTCAAGGCCGCACTCGCCAAACTGCAGCAGAAGGTATGTACGTCTACTGCACCACGCCATGCATCAACACACACACACACACGCAGTGCCTGTCGGGACGCAGCGATTGCTGCAACGGGTCTGTCTCGCTGGCACAGAGCCGCTGCCATCCCCCGCAGACCGCCCTCAACGTCGCGTCATCGACCGGCCAGGGCGCTCCTCTCCTTGAGAAGCCACGTGGCGATTTTTGGGGCGGTGACTACGACCTCGATGTGCGGCGCCAACAGGACACCGCCGAGACATTCCGTGCCAGCGGGGGATAGGGAGCTCACCGCTGCCTACATTTTATATTTGTGTGTCTCGGTTGACGAGCGACCGCCTGCAAGCTTTTCTCCAAATTGCCATGTCTCTGTCGATGCTGTCCCGTCGTATACGTGTGTGTTGCTCTCAGTGCCCGAGGGCGAGGGATGAGTTAGCGGAGGGGGTGGTTAGATTACTGCTGCCTACATTTTATATTTGCATGTCTCGGCATTTCGTATCCGTCTGCAACTCGACAGACTGCCTTGCTGCCCAGTTGTGTCAGTCAAGTGTGCGCGCATGTCCTAAGACCCTTCATGACCATTCAATCAATCCTTGCATACCATCCCCCATCAAATCGGTACCGCCCATGAGTCACTCAGTCCATCCATCCACCCACTCGCCCCTCCCTCCCTCCATCCATCGTCTCTATCTGTCCATCTCCATCTCACCCCTAGTCCGTCCTCTCTCCCTTTGTTCCTTCCTTCGTCCGCCGACCAGACACCGACACTGCATTTGCACTGAGCCAACTGAACAACACTCCCCCCGTCTCCCTTAAGGAAGGTCAACCAGACAGACAGACTGTAACGGACAGATCTGCTGAGCTTCAGCGGGACACACTCAGGCATTCAGACAGACAGACAGACAGACAGTTGGACAGACAGACACACGGCCAATCGAGAAGGCCTTAAACGCCAGAACAGTTGACCTTAGAGACAGACACGCGTCGGGCATCCCCTTTATAGAGCAGTGACTGACAGTGAGGCTCGTCGCTGTTTTCGGACAAACCACACTTCCCATTTCACCCAGAAGCCCCATCCATCATCAAGACGCCTATGTGAGACGCATATTCATCTTGCCCTCCTGCTGCATCCGAGGCGTGATCAGCTGCACACGCACGGACGCATAGTCGCACAGACATACATACGCAAGATGGGATGGGCACCCCTTCATGTCCCCCTCACTCACCTGATGGAACGGCGGCCTGGTGTCCTGAATGCCCGCAGGCAGAATGTAGCCCTCAGAGTAGTCGCGGCGACGGCTGGGATTCTGACAATTATACGGACGAACAGGGAGGACACATGGATCCTTGCTGCTCTATCGGATCGGCTCACCGCTTCCGTAGCGAAGTAGTATTCCTCCGGGCTTCGGTCGCACGGATTGCTGACAGCCTGGTTCCAGTACAGCTGTGATGCCACATCACGGCGGTCACGCGTCATGCGGTCAGTGGGCAGGGGCTCGTGGACAGGGTCCAGGAACCACACACTGCATATAGAGGCAGCAGGGTGCATTGGGGGGAGAGGGTGTGTCTGTGAGTGAGTGTGTCTCGCGTACGGCGGGTTGAGCCGGACTTCTGGTGTCTGTGGCTTGAGGTCGTCCCATGGGTGCACCTTACTGGCCGGGGGATCCATCTTGGTGATGCGGATGCCGCGCTGACCACCAAGGCAACACACGCGGATGCACCGTCTGTCTGTGCTGTGCCGGCCGCACTAATTACCTCCCCGGTCTTTGTGGCGGTGAATGACGGCCGTGTGTATGCCAGGATGGGGTCGCTCGTCATCTCCTCATACTTGAAGTTGGACGCTATGGCGCCGCGAGACGTCAGCATCCCTGTGGCGGGAAGAGCCGACACAGGCGACTCGTCAGCTGGCGACTCGCCGACCAGCTGACGGCTACACACACACACAGAGAGAGAGAGAGAGAGAGAAGGCCATGGCCTTCCTCCATGCATCAAGGAAGGCCTGTGGCTTACAGGTCAGGCTGGCTGGCGCTTCCCGCCAGCGATCGGGTGCTGTCAGAGAGCCCCGGCCCTGCCGTTCCCTCAAGGAGGTCCAGGTACTCGCCCTGCGCAATCACACGAGAGGTGCCCAGCCCCTTGCCAGCGATCGTGTCGGGAAAGCGCTTCAGCCCGCCCCTGAACCAGTCCAGCCGTTCGTCGGTCGTGGGCGCAGGTGCCGGCCCGCGACCGGACGGCGACACATCCGTGCCATCAATGTCGATTTTGCCATCCAGCTTCAACGTGGGAATCGACAAACAAGCCTGACGAACGAGACATCCCGCTGGATGGGTGCATTCTCATTTCTGTCTGCCTGTCTGTGTGTGTGTGGCCTACCGCTGCCACAGTGGATGCACTAGGTGGCGGAGCTTTGAAGTGTCTCGGTGTGGTTGCGCTCAGCCCCCGGTCGATGTGTGGGGCGCAAATGGGGGTCTCGGGGTGGCCGCTGATCCTGGCTGACGGCGTGTACATGTCACTCAACGCCTAAAGAATGGAGGACAGTGGGATGGCCTTTTCTAGTGCATTGTCTGTCTTGCGTGGTACCTCAGGATGGTCGGGAGGCCGGCCCTGCACGTACTTGACCGGCTGCACACATGGGGAAGCGCCCACCCACACGAAGGAAGGAATCAATGACTTCCCCTGCCCTCCTTGTCCCGCGCCCACCTTTTCGGCCGCCTTGAGATCGAAAGACACAGCGGGTCTGTCCATCGCCCAACCGCCCATGCGGCTCGCGCTGTACACCTACAGATACACATACAGAAAGGTGATGAAAAACACAGGTCTAAGGAGACACCAGCCTACCGCGGGATGTGTGGGCGACGGCTGCCTCTGACGCCGCTGCAAGTGGGGCATACTCGCGGCCCGCGCGGCGCGGTAGCTGATCCAGGCGCTGGGAGGCAGCGAATCCTCCACTTCGTGCAGATACCCCCCCTCTCCATGTCTGCCGATCGCAGCGATGCGGCTCGCCTCCGCGCCGCGCAAGCGCATCTGGTAACACAAGACACGCAGACATCGTACATATGTCGACCCACAGAGAAAGAGACACCCGGCACCTACCGTGCTTGATATGGTCTGCGTGGAGAAGAGCCGCTCGTGTGTGTCGAGGTGTCTGGATGAGTAGGAGTGTCTCGTCCGCTCGCCCCGCCCGATGTGCGCGACCTCGGGCAGCCGCTTCATCGTCAGCTTGCGGGGTGCGTCGATATAGACTGACGTCAGAACATGACAATAGTCAAACAGACAGACACACAGAGAGATTGGGCCATCGGCTGCGTACCGGCATGTAGGTAGGGGACGCTCTTCAAGCGCGACTGGAACTGCCCAGGCCCTCTCCGCCTGCAACCACACAGCACGCAAACACACACACATTCTCTCCCCTCCGGCCTCCACCCTCCCCATCCCATCCCCTCATCCACAGCTCATCCCAGCTCACGTTTTCCTCCCCTCCAGCTCAGCTGCAGGTGTCCGTGGGTCCCAAAACCCGCTGGTCGCATTCTTCACCACTCGCACCGCCTTGCCCCCCTTCTCCGCCCCGCCAACCAAAGGCGTCAGGGGCCTGCTGTCGAAGGTATTTTTGTCCGGGAAGACCAGCTTCCCGACAGGTCTTGCAGGTTTATCGTTGACGCCTGGGCCGGGGATGGTCATATTGAGGTTGTGGCCGTGGGAAACAGGTACCTCGCCCTGTGACTCGGGGGGCGCCATTTCTGACGGTGGGGGCGGAATTAGGAGACGAGTGCAAGAGGAGGGGACAAAAAGAAGCGCTGATCGGTGTGTTTGGGTGAATTGAAGGTTTTGGCAAGATCCGCAACAACGGTTTTACCGAAACCCTGCATCCCCAACGGATCGACAGGGAGCTGGCTGCTCAAGAAGAAAGCACGAGAGGCGACGATGAGCGGCCCTCATTTGAGCCTCCAGCAGGTCCTCGAGGCCGCCGAGAGGGACAACGAGGCGGAGGCGCGCCTTGCAGACAGTAAGTGGGCCTCAAGGGCAGTGAATTGGATGCAGAGAGGGGCGGCGGGACAGGCAAAGAGCTGCATGGCTCCTCTGTGTGTGAGGGGGGTGACGCTGAACGGCATTATGCGATCTCTGTGTGTCGCAGGGCTGAGTAGGTATAGTCCTCAGGAGCTGGTGAAGCTGCACGAACAGCGAGACCTCCTCCACGGTCAGGGATCAACCGAGAAGCGCATCGCACCCACTGCAATCATGGTTGCGACATTTGTCTGTGTGTGACGTGCAGCACAGTGCTGCGAATGGTACGACCGGTACAAATTTCTCGCCAACCGCAACACTGCGTGGCAGGACCTCCACGTACAAAACTCCCGCACGGCAAAAGACAACCAGGTGGGCACGTCAGTCGACAGAGAGGGTGTGGGCGGCACAGATGACATACCGCACACCGACTCACTCATCTGTCTGTCTGTGTGTGGTGTGTTGCGTGCAAAGGATGCTCCTGGCGGAGATAGACGAGCTGGAGGTCAGTGTACGACAGACACGCCGATCCTACTTAAAGTTTATTATCCACAAGTCTGTTCTGTCTGTCTGTCTGCCTGCAGGCCACCATCAGCCAGCTGGAGGACCAGAATGGGCACCTCAAGGCCGAAGTCGCCAAGCTGCAGCAGAAGGTATGGACATCTACTGCACCACGCCATGGACCAACACACACACGTATGTGTTGTTTGTTTGTCGGTGCACACAGGCCGCCCAGGATCCGTCAACCACCACGCCCTCGGCGGGCCCCTCCGGTAGCGACGCGGTGGTTGAGCAGAAGGACAAGGAGCTCGGCGCCCTCAGACGGGAGCTAGACGAGTTGCGCGACGCCATGGCAATACAGGCCAAGGAGGTCAGTTACCGCCCCAACACACACACACACACACACATATGTCACGTTTATGTGTGGGCGATTGATGAAACCCTCCCCGTGTGTGTACGTGTGTGGGTCATCAGCATGCTCGTCACCTAGAGGATTTGTCGCGTCACCACCACGAGCAGCAGCAGGCGGCGAATGGCCAGATCGCCCAGATGCGGCAGAAGCTCATGGCGGCTGAGCAGACGGCCGACACCGACACGACTGGTCTGCCACGGGCGTCGGACAAGGGCGTGCAGACATCGCCCCCGCCGCCCCCGCCAACACAGGTGCTTGAGGGTGGGAGGCAGCTGCTGGAGGCTCGCAAGCAGCAGCTGGAGGCCGACATCCGTGAACTGCGTGGCGAGCTGCAGCAGCCACAGCTGCGACTCAAACGCCACTCATGACCGCACGGCTGGCTGGCAGGCAGGCTGGCTGAGGGGGTGGTTGGGATCATCGGGGTGGCCTCCTTCCTTCCAGTGTGCATCTCTGTCTCTTCGTTTGTATGTGTGTATATACCTGTGTGCAGACAGACTTGCATCGAGCAATGTGTTTGGCCTGCCTGTTTTGGTGGTGTGAATCTCATGTAGGATTGAGGGTCGGTCGACTGATTGACACAATTCATTTCATGAGAGACCGACAGACTCTGCCCTGCCTGCCGTTGCGCTTTGACTGGATGGATGGATGGATGGAAGTCGTGTGCGTGGCGCTGACCGTGTCTGTGAGATGCAATGGGTGATCCGCAGTGCTGCCCGCCTCACCATCCTCACATCCAAACCACAAACGGCATTGATTCAATCCTCTGTGCGAGCCTGGAAGCATCCATCGGACGTCTCCAGCGAACGTAGCTGTGCAGCTTGTTTGGCGCTCAGTGCTTTCACTGTGAGTGCTGTGCGACGATGAGAAGCCTCAACTGAGGGACCATACCCACACTAAGTCGGTGAGCATGCGAAGATGGAGAAGAATGGCTGAAGGGGTACGTTAAGGGATGCATGGGATGCACTGTGTGCCTCTGCAGGGGTGTTTGGCCGGCGCGGCGCCATGGCAGCTGCAGCCTCATCGTCAGCCGCTGCCGCCGACTTGCCGCAGCCACAGGTCCATGTGCCTCATCCACTCATTCACTCAGTCGACTGGTTTGTCCGTGTCATCCATCCATCCATCAGGTTGTGGCGTCATCCCACGAGCGCTACAAGAAGGGCACGCGTGTGTGGATGGTGACGGACGGGCGGGAGAAGGGCAAACAGGAGTGGGTCAAGGCCGTCGTGTATCGCACTGAGGAGGAGACCAGCGGGGCGACGGCGGTGTCTATGAGGGAAGTAGCGGGGAGAGAGGAGTTTCGTGTGGTGGTGCCGCACCAGGCCAAGACATCGCCGCATCGCCAACAGGTAGGTAGACGCACACTGATTGAATGATCCTGTGTGCTTGCTGTGTGTGTGCCCTCCAAGTGCATGACGGTTTCAGTTTGGTTGAGAAGGCGCCTGTGGAGCAGCCTGTAGATCAGGATGACGGCAGCACCAAGGTGGTAAGTACTTGAGCAGCCACAGACAGACACACGAATAAACCGTCTCCCACAGTGCCTCCCTCCTCTCCCTTGGTTGCCTCGTTGTTCAGGCCAGCCATCAGCCTCGCCTGTTCCAGCTGCCGCAGGAGGTCGAGAGGGACATCCTGTGGCCCCTCCTCGGCAACGACCTTGCTGTCAGCCTCGCCCACACGCGCGGCACATGCCGCCCTGGCCGAGATCGGGTCTCTGCAGACCTCCTCGAATCGCTGATCCACACGCAGCTGACCAGCAAGGGCCTCAAGGACATCATCACCTTTCAGCTGGCGTCAATGGATTTCCTCCAGCGGCTGCTGTACGCCCTGCAGAACAGCGGTAAGTGGGCGGCGATGGTGCCGATCATCAGGGTGGCAAAGCATCAGGGGCGGGGAGGAGGGAGGCAGTTGCCGATAGAGCTGACCAGTGGCGATGTGGAGGCGGTGGGCAGCCGGGCGGTGTACGACGGGCGGTGTGAGGCGCTCCGGCAGCTGTCGCTCATCGGCCGCCACCTCGGCCGCATGGCGCTCAAGCGCGACGACAATGGCCGGGAGCGGCTGGGCGGGCATCTTCTGACCCTTCGCCCACTGCAGACACCACAGTCCATCTGGGACACCCCCGGGAGCATTTTGGTGCATCTGCCGGGCTACATGGACCTCCGCGATAGACTTAGATCTGACCCCGACCCAAACAACCCCGTGTGTGTCCGTCGAGGTGATGGAGGGGGGGAAGGGCTATAGGCAATGGATCATTTTGGCTGTTGTGTGTTTGGCTGTTGTGTGTGTGTCGATTTGCAGGTACTGTGTATGCTTCAGTCCGCGACTCTGTGCTGCAAAAGTGAGGAAAAATTACAATACATACAGCTTTCTGCACATTGGCTGCGTCGCTCTCCCGTGATTTCTGTTTGATCAGGATGCGGTCCGGAGGTTCGGAGGTCGCGGTGCAGCATGCCGACCAGCACAGCAATGCCCGACGCTACGACCTTCTGGTCAGTCACAGTCACACACACAAGCGCCTCTCCATTTGCCCCGCTGACTCATGGCCTCTCCCTTTCTCTGCAGGAGTCTCTAGCCACGCAGCCGCCCCCCGTCTGGAACTGCCACACCATCAGCACCAGCTGTGCGACGAACGGAACCTCGCGCCGCATCATCGTGCTGCACGGCGATCAGCAAGGGCACCAGTTCCAGGCCCACCTCTACATCATCTGCAGGCCGCCCAGCATAGGGAGGCCGAGAGAGGCAGAGGTCTACCTCTACACGACGGAGCCTCCTGTGGCGGGCACGATGGGCACCGCGAGGTTCCCCCAGACAGTGAGGGTGGTGTGGCGGGTGCTGGGGGCCGACAGACAGAGGGTTTTCGGCCACCAGCTAGATGGTCGGCCATGGGCGTCGGACAAGAGCGTGCAGACATCGCCCCCGCCGCCCCCGCCAACACACGAGGAGGGCGTCATGGCCGTCAGCACCACAGACGTGGGCGGCGAATAGTGAGTGTGTCGGTCGGTGGGTCGTCTGGTAGCTAAACACATGGACTGTGGGGAGAGAGGGAGGGAGGGGACCGACACGATCGCACGGCTGGCTGGCTGAGTGGGTGGGATCATCGGTTGGCTGAGTGGTGTGCATGTCTGTCTGTCTGTTGGTTTGTATGTGTGTGTATACCGGTGTGCAGACAGATTTGCATCGAGCAATGTGTTTGGCCTGCCTGTTTTGGTGGTGTGAATCTCATGTAGGATTGAGGGTCGGTCGACTGATTGACACAGTTCATTTCATGAGAGACCGACAGACTCTGCCCTGCGTGTTCTGGACACATCTAGCTACACACGGACAGACCATCCATCCATCCATGCATCACACGTTCTGCGTCGCTGCCCCTGATGCAGAGGGGTGGCCCGTGCTGATCACCTACCAACCACACACAACACAATGTGCCTGCCACTCACGCCAGCGATCTGATCACATGTATGGTGTGTGTGTGTGGGTTGGCGGTTTCTCTTGCCTTGAAGAGTTCGGGCATGTTCTGCGCCTTGAGCGCCTGGCGGCACGCAGACACCACACGAGTCCTGCTCGCACCAACTACACACACACACAGATGGAGATGGACATCAGAATTGCAAGGGCGTCAGTCGTTGACCTCTTAGGTTGGCGGCTCTCTGAATGGACGTGTTGAGGTCCTTGAGCTCGGCCATGAGGGCGTCGTAGTTGCCGCACCGCTTGACGTACTCGCCGACCATCTCCTGGTTGAGCTGCTGCAGCTGGGTGAACAGCTGCTTGGCCACTGACCTGCGAAGCCACGACACACACACACATCAGAGTCTGATTGAGGGCCGCACACGGTGTGGTGTCCACACACACACACACACACACTCTTACATGCGATTGAGAATCCGGGCCTCCTCGGCCTTCAGCACTAACGACTTGACCTGATGGCAAACAGAGACCTGACAACCCACTACTACACACACGCTCACCAGTTGTGAGTTGTCAGCCATTTCAGCCGTCATTTTGGCCCTGGCGGCCTGCAGCCCCTCCACTCTTCCCAACACACCACCCAGACGATCCAGCTCCTGCACACCACACCACAGAGTACACACACACACACACACACACAAGTCAGTCAGTCAGTCCTGAAGTATTCTGTTTGCCTGACTGACCTGAGGCACGTGTGCGATGGTGTCGAGCTGGTCGATTTTGAAGTACTCGGCCATGTGGGCTATGACGTCGCTGAGGGCCTCCATGTCGCCGCACACCACACGCACTCGCGGCAACCCACTGCCACCACCAGCAGCAGCAGCCGCATCAGGGGCACTCAGAGAGATGCCCAGACAGTCACCTGACATATACACACAGGGATGCTAGGGATGCTGGTGTGTGTGGGGGGGGGGGGGGGGGGGG